ACAACTAATTAATTACAAAAGGGGAATGAGAGCCCTGAAGATAAGCTCCCCAGGTGCTGAGGGATGGGGCTTTATAACCAGGGGGGCATGACCTGGCCTGGGTTGGGAGAGGTCAGGAAGCTTCCAGAACTGTTGCAGTAGTCTGGGGAGCAGGGGAGATCTGAGGATGTTGACCACAGGAAGAACCCATTCAAAAGAAACTGGGATAGTGGAATCAATAGGACTTAGAAAGCTGTTAATTGTGGATGGTGACTGAAAAGTCAATCCAGCCTCTCTACCACCTCTACCTTCCAACTCTGGGGCATTGGAAAGATAGAGGAACTAGGTAAATTCCTGGGTTCTGATCCTGATTGTGCCCCTTCTTGCTGGGTGACATCACAGACAAATCACTCTGTAGAGCCTTGGGAGACCTGCATTCCTTCATTACACTGCTGGCATGCTATGCCCTATGATGGTGTTCCTTCAACCTCGAGGGAACATTGCAAAAAAAAACATAAGAGGGACGTGTAGGAGAACTACACCATACATCTACAGTAACATAGTGGTACTGGCACATGGAAATGGAATAAAAATCTGGAAATAAATCCCAATACATATGTGAACATAGTATATGACAAAAGAAGTACTATATATACATAGAGATGGATTATTAAAGAATGTTCAGAAAATATAGATCGTTCAATATATGGTATTGGACAATGGGTAGCCACCAGGAAAAAAAAAAAATTGGATCCGTATCTCACCTCTTTTAGACCACTCAAAATGAAAACACTGAAAAATAAACTTTAGAAGCACTAGAAGAAAATGCAGGTTTCTAAAAACACTCTTGGAGTGGGGAAATCCTTTCTAAGTATAACACAAAACCTAGAAGCCACACACATAAACACTCACACACAGACACATTCAAACAAGCACAACAAAAAACATCATCTATGCCACATATCACACAGGAATAATTTTCTTTATATAAAATGAGCACTTATAAATTAGTAACAAGGGACCGACAACTTAGTAGAAAAGGAAAAGGCAGTTCATGGTAAAGATCAAAATGGCTCTCAAACATGAAAAGATGCATCACTTATAATAAGAGAAATGGAAACTAAAATTACAATGAAATACCATTCTCACTTACCAAATAGGCAAAACTCACCTCTGGAAGGCACCTTGGCAATATCAATTTAAAATGCAGATTCCTTCAGCAACTTTTCTTTTAGGAATTTTTCTATGGATACATTCCTACAAGTATGGAATGGTATGCCTAAAAAATTCATAGCCAAGTATTGGAAACAACCTAAATGTCCATTGATAAGGAACTTATTAAATTATGACACAGCACATAGAAGAGTGGAGATGCAGATGTACAGCTAGGAAAAAATCTTCATAATATAGAGGCTCTGGAGGGTGTACTAGATTTGAATTACATCCATAAAATAGAAACAATTGTACCTCTGCACAAGGTTGTTGTGAAGATTACAATTAAAATACCAAAAGCACTTAAGGGCACCTGGGTGGCTCAGTCGGTTAAGTCTGCCTTCGGCTCAGGTCATGATCCCAGGGTCCTGGGATCAAGTCCTGCATCAGGCTCCCTGCTCAGCGGGGAGCCTGCTTCTCCCTCTCCCTCTGCCGCTCCTCCCCAGCTCATTCTCTCTCTCAAATAAATAAAATCTTTAAAAAAAATTACCAACATAACAATAAAAAAATTTTTTTTAATGTAATTTAAACAGGAAAAAAAAATTTACCAAAAGCACTTAGAATATCCAGAATATATACCATTAGCTATTTACTTATACATACTGTTTTTTTTTACGGTTTTTTATTTTTAAGTAATCTCTACACCCAACATGGGGCTCAAACTCACAACCCTGAGGTCAAGAGCTGCACGCTGTACCGATTGAGCCAGCCAGGCGCCCCACACATACTGTTAATACAAAGAGCAAAGGGGCAGAACAGCTTGTACAATTACCTACCACGTGTGCAAAAGAAAAATAAGTGTATAGGTTATTGAAAGTTTCACAATCAATCAGTAACAGTGGTTGCCTCTGGAAAGAGAACTGAAGGGCCAGGGACAAGGCAACTTATTTTTACAGTCTACCTTCCTCCTCTCCCCCCATCTATCTTTCTATACCTTTTAATTTTTTTACGATGGGTATTTGACATCTATCCGAAAGATAAATTATTTTATTTTTTAAAGTAGGCTCCACACCCAGCCTGGAGCCCAGTACAGGGCTTGAACTCATGACCCTGAGATCAAGACCAAGACCTGAGTTGAGATCAAGAGTTGGATGCTTCCCAACTGAGCCACTCAGGCACCCCAATAAATTAATATTTTTAAGTAGAAAAATATCAATCAGACACACATAAAGAAAAAGTAATTAAATTTTATAAGATGTAGAAATTAAATTATGCTCTAATCTTTTCCACTAGTGTAATTTTGTTAGAATGCTCATATAGTGGAGGCATTGACTGACTTTTCAAATTCATCCTGCACCCTTTCAAATTACTGATGGAGCTTGCACCTCAATGTGTGGACCAGCAGCATCAGCATCACTTAAGAACTTGTTAGAATGCAGAATCTCAGGCCCCACCCTAGACCTACTGAATCCAGTCCACATTTTAACAAGATTCTCAGGTGATTTGTTTGAGGGAGCTTGTTTGAGGTAGGAGAGGCACTGAGCTAGGCACATAATAAAAAACAAAAATATAAAACAGAACAGAAGCACTGTTCTATCTACTCTTCTTTTTTTTTTTTGACTTGCACTTCTCAAAATTGGTATGGTTAGATGACTCTGAAAAACATATTGTGGGTTCCAAGAACACAAACACAAAATAATCAACTTTTAGGGCGCCTGGGTGGCTCAGTTGGTTAAGTGACTGCCTTCGGCTCAAGTCATGATCCTGGAGTCCCGGGATCGAGTCCCGCATCCGGCTCCCTGCTCGGCAGGGAGCCTGCTTCTCCCTCTGACCCTCTCCCCTCTCATGTGCTCTCTCATTCTCTCTCTCTCAAGTAAATAAATAAATCTTTAAAAAAAAAAATCAACCTATATGAGTCTATATAAAGTTTATTTATTTTTTCTATATAAATTTTAAAAAGAGCTACTTTCATCCATGATGTTATAAGTCAGGATAGAGGTTACCTTTGGGGAGATGGGAGGAGGCAGAGGTTGGGGCAGGGCCTAAAGGGCTGCTTCTAGAGTGCTGGTAATGTTTGTCTCTTGATCTGGTTGCTGGTTATTTGGATCTGTTTGTGAAAATTCTTAAGGACTGTGCACTTCTGATTGGTGTATTTTTTTGAGATGTGTCCTATACTTCAAAAAAAAGTTTTCAAAAACTCTACTATTATCACCTACCTCAAACCCCTTTACCATGGGGGAGCCAAGATGCTTGGGGGAAAAAAGACTGAGCTGAGGAAATTATTTACACAGATTTAGTTACTGGTAGGTAACTCCCACTTAATTACTTTGTCACACACACACACACACTAGAACTCCTGTACTTTTTTTTTTTTAAGTAGGCTCCATGCTCAGTGTGGAGCCCAATGCAGGGCTTAAACTCATACCCCTGAGATAAAGACCTGAGCTGAGATCAAGAGTCGGATGCTTAACTGACTGAGCCATCCAGGAGCCTCCTGTACATTTTATTTATTTATTTTTAAAATTTTTATTTATTTGACAGAGAGAGACACAGCAAGAGAGGGAACACAAGCAGGGGGAGTGGGAGAGGGAGAAGCAGGCTTCCCGCGGAGCAGGGAGCCCGATGCGGGGCTCGATCCCAGGACCCTGGGATCATGACCTGAGCCGAAGGCAGACGCCCAACGACTGAGCCACCTAGGTGCCCTGCTCCTGTACATTTTAAAAGGTGCCTACTACTGACCTGCATTCACCCGAAAGATAACATGATCATGACAGAGCTGCTTCAGGGTGCTCTCTGGAATGCTGGGGGGAGAAGGAGCACAGGCTCTGCTCTCTTAGTGGGTTTCAAGCCTGAACTGACCATTCATTAGCTTACATAACCCTGGACAAGTTACTAACCCTCATTTCTGTCCTATCGGAGGATGATAATTATATTCCCATCTTGTAGGAATGCTCTCTGTATTAAATGAGATAATATATATGAAGTGCTTGGTGCAGTGCCTGGCACATAATAGGAGCCCATTAATGGTAGACAATTATTTGAGAGTAAAGCTCTTCTCAATCATTCCCAAACATGACCTCGCAAGTAATCATTACCTGCAGTTAAAGCTAATTACAGCAGGAAACATTCTGAAAGCCACTTCCCTGGATGTGAATTCAGGTCTCACGATCCACGTGAGAACCAGAATTTGGAGTACCAGCACCAGGTTTTTCAGGATATTTGCTTTCAGAAGCACCCGCCCCATTCCATTGCCCTTAGCCAGCAGGGCAATACCTGTGTCCCTCCCTGTCTTCCCACACCCCTCCACACAGAGAAAGGCCCAGTTCTCATGCCTCCTGCTACATGCTCCCACGAGCTTGCTCTCAAAGCTTCTAAACTATGGGGTGCCTGGATGGCTCAGTCGGTTAAGCATCCTCCTTCAGCTCAGGTCATGATCTCAGGATCCTGGGATCGAGCCCCCCATCGCATCGGGCTCCCTGCTGAGCAGGGAGTCTGCTTCTTCCTCTCTCTCTGCCTGCCACTCCCCACTGCTTGTGCTCTTTCTCTGTCAAATAAATAAATAAAATCTTTAAGGGCACCTGGATGGCTCAGTTGGTTAAGCGACTGCCTTCAGCTCAGGTCATGGTCCTGGAGTCCCGGGATCGAGTCCCGCATCAGGCTCCCTGCTCAGCGGGGAGTCTGCTTCTCCCTCTGACCCTCCCCGCTCTCATGAGCTTTCTCTCATTTTCTCTCTCTCAAATAAATAAATAAAATCTTTAGAAAAAATAAAAAATAAAATCTTTAAAAATAAATAAATAAATAAAGTTTCTAAACTAAAATTTTCAGGTGGAAATACTTGGAAGCAAACTTCATGCTCTTAACTTCTAATTCGGAAGAGGCAAACCATTCTTTTTGCCTGTTTCTTCCCAGAGTTTCCCCTGGCTCCCAGCAATGGTGTAAAGATGAGAACAAAGTATCCACACCCAACGATAGAAGGGAAGTCTGATAGAGGAGTAGGAGACAGCCAACAGCCAAAGCAGTCTTTGTCCTTATTCCAAGATAAAGAACTTTTTCAAAACATTTACATTTTCAAAAGGTCAAGGGCGGCTATCTCTAGGTGGTAGGAATATAGGTATTTGCCACTTTTAAAAATGATTTTCTACATTTTCCTAATTGTCTACATGACTATGTATTATCTTTAATGTGATAACATTCTTTGGGGTCTTCTCTAATTACAAAAGCATTTTGTGCTCAGTGCAGAAAACTTGGAAGGCACAAAGGAAAACAAGTCCCTTTAACTCACATCATGTAAAGATAACAGCTGTTAACATTTTGGCATATGTCTTTCCAGATTTTTCTCTATGCAGAGATGCTTCATTTTTGCGATCTGGAAAAAAGTAAACAGTTAAGAGACAAAGCCTTGGGTCTTTAGCTCTCAATTTTATTTCTGTTTTTAAACAGCTTCTAACGGCTTGGAAATATCCCTAACAGCAGGGGCCTGCCCCATGCAATCCGGGGGCTCCCCTAGCCAGGGCTGGGGTCCAGGCTCCAGTAACTCCCCCCCACCCACGCCAACCATCAGGCCTATTTTCTCTCTGTCTCTGGAGATTTGGGACAGAAGAGGATCTCCAGGGAGAGGGAAAACTGGGACTAAGGGACGCTGCATGGAAGGATTGAGCTCAGACACAGCTGCCTTTGTTAGTCTTAGGATATTTTGGGATTTGGTAGCATGCTCAGACAGACTGTGGGAGGGCGTAAAGAGGGGCTCCTGGACTCCTCTCTGGCCTCACGCATTCCTGGGCAGGGCCTACAGCACCCCTTCCTCTTGCCAGGCTGGGTGCCCTGCCTTTAGAGGCTGGGCAAATGGCAGCCTGCAGTGATCCAGCATGCCTTGCTGTGACCTGGTCAGCTGCACTTGACTCCTGGCCTAGGCGGGCTGGGTCATCAGGAAGGGGACGAGGATTCAGACCTGGGAGCGCCCCACTGTCTCCCAGCACTTGGGACCTGACTGTATCAACCCCTTACCAACTCTCACCTACAGGGGAATAACACCAGGGCATCTCTTTGTGAGGAAGAGCAAAACCGGACACTTAAACCCCGAGCACGGGCAGGGCTGGGGCCCCCGGGGTGAGAGACACCTCAGTGCATGCGCTAAAGCAGCAGGGGCAGCTCGGCCAGAGGGTAGAGGCCCACAGGGCTGGATCTACCCTCCCCCAACTCCTCTCCACACCCACGGTAACCATGGAAACATAACCACCCCCTCCTGCCAGCTGCCTGGGTTTAGGCAACCAGGCCTGGCCCACCTCCACCCGGCCCCGGCCTGAGCCGATGCCAGGCAGCCCAGAGTGGCCGCAGGAAGAACTGGGATTGGGCCATTTGGTCGGTCCAGGCTTCCAGCGCAGCTTGGGAGGGCTGCCACAGGAGCCCCCCCGCCGCGCGGCCCGGGCCAGGGTCCGCGGCCAGCATCACAGCCAGCAGCACGGCCCCGGCCGCGCTCAGCCTGTGGGCTAACAGCTACTGTGGGGCAGGAGCCCCTGCTGCTGCAGGAGCCGCCTCCCGGCCTCACTGGCGGGGCTTTCCGGCGGCTCCTCCTCCTGCCCGGGCCGCTCGGCGAGCCCCTCAGGGCTGAGGATGTACCGATAGTCACTGGGGGTGCCCCCCGCTGCCCCCACACTGCTGCCATCCCCGGCCCCGCTGCTGGCCTGGTCCCCGCCAGGCAGCTGCAGGGGGCCTCCCTCGGCGGGCCCCTCGGCTCGCTCCAGGTTGATGTACAAGGGGTCCTGGCTGGTGGACAGCACGGACAGGTGGCCCAGGACGCTCTCCAGCTCCATCCGCAGGCACGTGAAGGTCGGGCGCCGCTTGGGGTCGGCGCTCCAGCACTGGAACATGAGCTCATACCTGGGCGCAGAGGAGCGTGAGGGGTGGCAGTGAGGACCCCCGAGGAGAAGCTGAGGCCCCTTCACCATACGGAACCACGATTTGGGAAACTTTTCTTTAACACACCCATATGTAGGACTATGTATCAGGCCTTCTTCTAAGTAGTTGACATTTATCATTTAATGCTCACCACAACCCTGTGAAATAAATGATTCCTATTTTACCACTGTGGAAACAGGCCCAGAAAGGTTAAGAACCTTGCCCAAGGTCACACAGGTAGAAAGGGATGGAGCTAGCTCCAGAGTCCGTCCTAGGCTCTGCTGGGAGGGGCACTAGGCGTGCTTTTGTCTTGCAGAACACAGCGGGAGTCAGTGTTATTTTAATGGCAAGGATTTGAACAGCCACCCTTTGTCCCAAATCCTCACCCACTCAGGCAGACTTAAATCTTCATTGTTCATGGACACCTTTGAATCTAGAAAAGCTTCCAGCCCTCCCCGCCCCTTCCCCCTCTCCCCCCCGGGAAGGAACACTTTCTACATACACTTTCAGGAGCCTTACAGATTCCCTGAGGTCTTATTCCTGTTCCCAGGGAATGCCTCAGGCTTAAGGGAAAAAAAAAAAAAAAAAAAAAAAGAACTAAGGGAAGGGGGTTCTGACCAGATGCAGTCAGAGCAAATGCCTGACTCTCTTGTGCCTACAACAGAAGCCCCAAACAACTGCCCCACACACTGGCCCTCCTGACAGGGGCCCCCAATGATGGGAGGAATGGTGCCAGACATCGAAGAGGCCATGGAAATGTGGGGCCATGGGTATGTGGCCAGGCTGGGCTACATTGTCAAGGCTGTGCTAGGAGCCAACTGGCGCCTGTCCACCAGGCTGGCTGGTAGGAGGCCAGCGCCCGCCCTATTGACAACACTAGCCCCAACCTGAGAGGAAGCTAAGCTGGAGCCTGATCCCCGATGCCCAGCAGAACCTCTGCAGCTCCAGATGCCCAGGCAGGCTACAGCCACAGGGAAACCTGAGCTCCTGCCCCTGCCATGCCCTGAACTGTGCAGATGAGCAGGAGGGGTAGGGCCTGGCTCACGCCCTCAGATTTCCCTCTTACCCACAGTCGAGGATCAGGGCACTTCAAACCAACTGCCCTAGAGAAAAAGGACCCCACCTTTCAGGCATCTTCCTCTGCCTGTCCCTGATCCTGGACCTCTGGTCCAGCCCCACAGCAAGAAGTAGGGAGTAGATTCCTTCCCTGGATCACTGTGGACTCCCTCCCCCTGGTACTAGTGAAAAGGCCCCCCAGGGCCCCAGGGAAACTGGCTTGCACAGGGTGGGAAATACAACACTAGAATGGACAAATGACATTTGGCGTCATAGTTAAGAGGCACCTATTCTAAAATCACAGGCATCTAGGTTCACATCCCAACTCATCTACTTAATAGCTGTGTGACCTTGGCCATGTTACTTAACCTCTTTAATCTTTAGTTTTTCATCTACAAAATAGGGATAATGATAGTCTTTTCCTTATGGGGTTAGAGGGGGATTACCTGAAAGAATGCCTGTAAAGTACCCAGCTAATGCTAGTAACCCTGTCTTCCAGTCACGAGGGGTTCACAACACTCCACTGTGCAGTGGGTGTATCCCCACCCTACCCCACTCCCAAAGGCTCCAGGCTTTCAGAAAGGAAAGAAGGCAGTTCTTCTCCCCAGGATCTTAGGTCTCTCCACTCCCTCAAGAGGAAGCCAACCTCCCGCTCCCCCCACGCCCCCTCCTTGTCCAGCGAGGAATGTGACAGAGAGGCAGTTTTTTCTTGCCCTGGTGCAGCCCTCTCTGAGGGGGAGGGAGGGCCCAGCCTGGGAGGTTTTCTTAGACTAGCTGGGGACTGAGAAGGAGTGGGGGGGGGGGGGGGGGGAGAAGGTGACAGAATCGTGTGCTATTGCTCAACCCTGTACCTTCTGCCCTCGGGGTTCCTGGTTCTTCCTGGAAACTGGAGAAAATAAGAGTGTAAGAAAGGGTGGAACAAAAAATACAGGATGGGAAAGCAGGAGAGAGAGTAAACGGGAGGTAGCAGATGAAGAGGCAGCTTGGAGTGGAGGTTGGTCTTCCCTCTGGGGACAAGGACATTTCCACCAAAAAAACGAAAGGTCCAGTTGAGGTTCCGCGCTCCCACTGGACCAGCAGCTGTGGTGGCAGGCAGCACCTGAAACCCCAAATTCCTCCTTCCTCCCCAGGTCCCCTTCCCAGGGCACTCACACGTCCTCTGTACACTCTGAAGGCTGTTTCAGGCGGTTCCCGCCGATGAGGTAGTTGTAAATCTCAGCATTCTCAATGCCAGCATACGGCGTCTGCCCACGAGTCATGATCTCCCACATGGTCACCCCGAAGGCCCACTGGGACGGAAGCAAGGTTGGAGGGGAGATGTCACTAGGTTTCCTGAGCTGGGCAGAACCCTAAGGCAAGCACATCTTAGGGCTCAGGGGCCTCAGAAGGGGGCAGCCAAAGCCCAAAGAAGAGACCCAGCTAGGTCCTTGAGGACTCTAAAGGGCCACCCACACCCTAGGCCACGCTGCTTGCGTTCCCACCGAGCCTCCCTGTGCCACCCTGCTCACCACGTCACTGTGCACAGTATACAGGTTGTCAGCCAGGCTCTCCAGGGCCAGCCACTTGACAGGCAATTTGGAGGCACAGCCCTGGCGATAGTAGTCCCCGCTATAGATCTTCCGGGAGAGCCCAAAGTCAGCTACGCACACTGTCATGTCTTCCGCCAGCCTGTGAGGGGTGTTGGAGGATGCAGTCAGCCTTACGGAAACCAGGGCATCTTTGCTCCCCAGCTGTCCCCACGCACCCAGGTGAGAGCCGACCATTAGCTAGTTCTCCTGTCGTAGGCTGCTCTGTTCCCCACCCACCCCACGCCCCGAGCCCTCTAGAATTCACATACATGCAATTCCGAGCAGCCAGGTCTCGGTGAATAAAGTTCCGGGAGCTCAGGTACTCCATGCCACAGGCGATGTCCACCATGAACCGGACCAGGGTCTGCAGGGGCAGGTTCTAGTGGGCAGACAGGGCTAGCTCAGGCTGGATCTGCCCACCCAGCCAGGGCAGGATGAAGGGGGTTCCCTGGCCAGAAAGCCTAAAGACTGTCCTTGGAATTACTGAAAGGAGGGCGTTTGGAGGGGCTTCCCAAGGCAAAGAAGCTTTGGCAGATCTGAGAGAGCATCCAAGAGTCAAGACACTCCCAGTGTGGAGCTCTAGAGGTCTCTTCTCCCAGAAGTGGGCCCTTGCCCCGCCTAAAATTCCCAGCAGGGCTTGTGAGGGAGAAGGAAGCCTTCTAACATAAAAAGGGTCAAAGCCAGGCTGCCTCTTCCCAACCAGTTTAATCGGCCCTGCCCACCAAGCCAAACTCAATGCCAGGGTCTTTGTCCCTTTCCAACTCCTGGCCATTCCACCTCAGGCACTCACAAAGGGATTCTCCCCAATCCGGGAGGCGAGTAGGAAGGCGTGCAGGTCCCCGTGCTTCATGAAGGGCAAGATGACCATGGGGATGGGGAGACGGCCTTTGGCCCTGCTGCGGAGGCTCACCCCTGGGGACAAGGGAGAGTCAGGAGCAGGGCACATAGCAGTCAAGAGATGGCTCAGGTGTTTGCATGAGTCCGCCACTTGCTAGGTCCTATATCTCTAGCCCTGGCTCTGCTACCTCCCTCCCCGTAAGTCCACACTGGCCCTACCTACTGGTGACTACCTAAGATTTGGCTGCCCCCCAGATCTCTGGAGCATCTACTTGTCCCCTCCTTCTCCTCTGTTCACATGAGCAGTCTTCAAGTGCAGACCTTTGGTATAGGGCCTGCACGATAAACTCCTTACCTGGAGTTGGATCAGATTTCAGCCAGGACCTTCCTTGCTATTTTGCTATCTGCTTCCTCACCAGCTAAGTCCAAACTTCTCTCCTACAGGCTGCCCTCCCACCTTAGGGGAGCATACTTTTAGCCCTATTGTATATCTGCCTCCCCCCAAGAAGGAGCTCACCAACAAGCTTGGCCACGTGTGGGTGGTCAAATTCCTTCATGCAAGCCGCTTCCCTGAGGAACTCTTCAATGTCACTTGAAGCAATGATGTCAGCTAGAAGGATGGAAGGGAGGGAATAAGGGAGATGTGCCCCCAATTCTGACCTAAGACTCCTAGGCCTTGTCCTTCCTGGGCTTCCCAGAGGGCTCAGGAAACAGTCTGGCCATTAGCAGAAGAAACTCCCATGGAGTGGGGCTCTCCAACCATCTTTCCACTTGCTAACGGTCTTCCCTTTGGTTTGGATAGCCCAGACGCTCAGGCAACCAGCTTTAATCACCCTGAATGAGCCCAGAGGACAGTCACTGCTGACGACAGAAAGCAAAGGGCGCAAACGTGTGTGGGTTTATGCTTTTGAATTATTCACGTGGCACAGACGGCATCCTAGTTAGTGCTGACTAACTCTTCTTGGAAAGTCTAGGGGTGCAGCAGAGCCTACTTCCGGCTCAGGACCCCTTCCACTCCTCACTCCAGGTCTACTATTCTCCACTCACCTTTCAGCATCTTGACGGCCACTTTCACAAAGGAGCCATCCTCCTGCTTCAGCTGGGCCTCCCGCACTGAACCGAACTCTCCTAGGAACCGACCCAAATGATGGTGAGGCCCTTTGCCCTACCAGCCCCAGCCCCTTTTCTTCAAGGTGACCCTCCCCAGGGACACAAATCACTAGACTCCGGGGCCACTGCAGGAGGCTCCCTTGTCCACAGCCGACGAAAGTATGCTGGGAGTGCTCCTCTGCCCTCCTTATCCCCAGCCACCATTCCCCCAAACATCCCCGACTCAGCAGTCTACCAGCATATCGTGTTCACAGGAGCTGCCCCAAGCCCACACCCCCAAAGTGCTGGGAGCAATCAAAGACAAACTCCACTCCGGCTAATCCCCATGCAGCCCCACACACCTTTGCCCAACATCCGGCCCAGGGTGAACTGCTGCTCAGGGATGAGCACATCCTCCAATTTGTCCTTGAGTTCATCGCTGATGCCCAAGCTGTCCACTGTGGGGAGAAGGGTGGTGAGACAGAAGAGGGGCCTCTCTGGCTCCTGACCGACACCCCAGGCTCGGCCCTCAGAGAAGGCATGAGCTTAGTTTAGCTCTCCCACAGCTAGGATGGCAACCTCCACGAGGGTAGGTCTGTGTGTCTTTTCCACTGTTGTGTGCTCAGGACTCATTAATGTTCAGACACACTGGCCAAATTAATGAGCTAACAAAAAGAATACAGATAGGGGCGCGCAGATAGTCCATTTTTCCTATGATTCCCCACACTCACATGTGGCCTCGATACGCTCAGGCCGCTCCCGATTGAAGGACCGGGCTGCCCGGAAGTGAACGGCCGGCTCTCCCCGGGCCATGACACTGTCAAAGGCTTGCCTAAGGGGAAACCCAGGACTTGGAGTCAGCCCCAAGATCTTCGGTCATCGCCCGCCTCTCCCTCCTGTCCTTACCCCCTTACCCGAACCGTGTCTCCTTCCGCCTCTTTCGAAGCAGGATGAGGGCCAAGGCTGCGGCCGTCACCAAGGCTGTCAGCACACCCAGGACCACAGGCACCCAGGATGTGCGGCTGTGGGGAGGGCCATGCTGGCCTATGGGAGATGGGGGCAGTGGCATGAGCGAGGCTGACATCAAGGAGTCCCTTTAGAACTTTCCACTGATGGCCATCTGGCCTGGACAAGAGGTTCTCTTAAGTCAATAAAGGTCCCGAGGGGAAAGAAGCTCCAAAGGAAGCCCCAAGAGTTCCTACCCTGTCAGTGACAGGCCCTGGCTGTTGGAACCTACAATACGACCAGGGATTTCTATGCTAGTTCTGGGGCAGGGGAAGAAGGACATATGGTTCAAATACCAACCCTGGCCTCAACTGCTGAGTCTTTGGGTCTATTGGAAGCAAAGGTGCTACCAAGCTCCTTCCACCAATCTAGGTTGGCCTTGAGAGCCTTGATCCCCTCTGCCCTTCCCCTACAGGCCTTACCTGCACGGTCATGAGAAGAGACCACCAGTGGCTGACTCCAGGGCCCACAGCCAACTGCATTGGAGATGCACACACGCACAGTCAAGTCCTTCTGCGGATCCCAGCCTGTCAAGTTGGCCCTGGTCCCCTCCACTGTCAGCTCACCCTGCAGCCAGGAAAAACCCCCATCCCACATTTGAGTCTGAGGAAAAGGCCTCCAGCTGGGGCCTGAATGCAGAAAAAGGTCCAGCTAGGAACCCAGGAGGTAAGGGACACTGTGGGTTCAGGGACCTCAGGAACACAACCTGCTGGGAGTCATCACATTCCTTCCCCAGGCCGCAGAGGCCTTCCCTGAACACAAACAAGGCTCAGTCCAGGCAGGCAGAGGTGGGGGATGGGAAGGAACCAGGCTGAGGATAAGACAGCCTTATCCGTGCCCTCCCCCAGTCTGTTTAGGAATGTGCTTCCTGCTTTACAAGTGGCCACCGGAGGCAATCCTAACAGGAGACAATCCAATAAGGAGGGAAGCCTGCAGGGGAAGGTGGGGAAAAGTGGACTCCCTGGGGTGGTGGGAGGCCCAGCCCACCAAAGTCCCCAGGCCCACCAAGGACAGCCATTCGGAAGCTCTAAAGGTCTTAAGAGTCCTGACAGATGACTCGGTGTACCTGGAGAGCAGAGGCTTGTCTCCCCTTACCTGGGTGCCCCTTACCTGGGTTCCATTGTCCTGAACCCAGGACAATTTATAAGGTCCCAGGGGGCCTTCCAAAGGGCCCTCGGGGATCACTTCTTCCCACTCCAGGATGAGGCCTGAGTCTGTGCGGATGGCATGGAGGTTCTGGGGAGCGCTGGCTGGGGCTGTACCCAAAGAGAGAAGGCCGCTAAGAGCCCTGCCCTTCCCACTATCACCATCCTGTGCTAGCCTTTGGAACCAACTCCCAAGAGCTACACAGCTCAGACAGCTACAGGTGGGGGTTAGGACTTCCCTCCCAGTTCTGACTGCTCTCACCCAGAGTCCTGTGGAGGAGGGGTGAGCAATGGCAGGACCCACAGCACCCTGCTAGGTACAGTGCTGCTCTTGGTTACTGCCTCAGCAGCATCCTTCACCACTTCCCCCTCATAGCGCCACCAGCATCTCTGCTATTGATAGGAGAACTCCAAGCAAGTTCCTGCCACAGGATCTTTGCACTTGCTATGCCCCCTTCTGCAGTGATTTCCCCTCCCCCATGTGTGGCTTGTTCCTTATCATTCAAACTTCAATCTCTTTATGGGGGTATGCCTGGACCACCCTGAGGGCACTCTTCCTCACCAAATGATCTGATCTTTTCTAATCTGCATGTCTGCTCCACCCCTAGAACTAAAGCTGCATGAGAAGGGGCCGGATTTATCTAATTCATAGGTACACAGCAGACACTCGGTGTTTGCTGAATGAGGCAGGAACCCCCCTTCAGGTAACCTCTCTCTCAAGCAACTTCATTCAGGACTGAAGCCAACATCGCCTGTTCCCCGTGCAGGCCCTGCCCAGCCACTCTGCTCTGCAAGCCCCTTACCTAGGCCCTTTGTCCGAAAGGGCACCCAGTCAGCATATGGAGAAGGCCCCAAGGCGTTGGCACAGCGCACCCTGAGGCTGTAGTTGGTGGCAGGTGCCAGGTCCCGGAGCAGGCAGGTAAAAGGTGGCACGGGGACCACAACAGCCAGGACCTCCCAGCCTCCTGGAGCCTGTGTCACCTACAGAAAAGCCGCAAAGTAATGATGGAGAGGAGGGAGGCCGAAGATGCAATAGGCATGGGCAGGAGCAGGGGACAGAGGAGGTGGGGGGAGATCTTGAGTTAATGCCTCCTCTAAGCCTATCAGCAAACACCTGCAACCCACTCCCTCCCACCTGCCCCCACTCTAATAACACCAAGTTCCACGCCTCCATTCCTTTGCAAATGCTGTTCCTTTGCTTGGAATGACCTGCTCTTCCTAGCAAAGTCCAACTCATCTTTTAAGACTCAGTGCAAATACAACGTTTTCTGTCAAAGACTTTCCCAACTACTCCAGAAAACTCATACCAAAGGGTATGAGTTAGAAGGGTTACCATTTATTATAACTACACGCAAGTGCAAAGTCTCAGTTTCTCAAGGGCAGAGTAACTGGGAGCCTAGGAGCACAGTGAACCAGGCCTTCACCTTACATTTTGGGGGCCCAGGACAAGTGTACAAATGGAGATCCACATACCATATGGCTAAATATTTAAATGTTATAAATCAGCTAACAAATTATTGGACAAAATATTTCCTATGATGGCATATGGACAAATAAAGCTTCAATCAAGGTCAGGTTTGCATTTATAATCCTCTCATCCCTAGGATTCCCAAGCCAGAATGTGGTGGCACAAGAAGAGCTAGCCTGTGAGCCAAGGGTCTGTACCGGGAGGAATATCAACTGCGCGGGTGTGGACAATGCTACCTGCATACCGATTCCCCACAACGGCTGCCCTTTGGACTTGAGGTGCACAAACCATGCCCTCCCAAGGAGGGACCAGGGAGGAGGCCCACACAGGTCCTAGAAGCAGACTGGGGGCCATAAGGGCGGAGGTCCTGAGTATCTAGAAGATGGTGTAGTGTGGCAGTTGGGGGAAGGGGAGGGGATGTCCTCATGATCTAGATGGGCATATCCCCTTGTCTCTACAGATTCCTTACCCAGGGGCAAGGGTGCAGCCACAAGAGGGCCAGAGTGGAGTCCTCTAAATGGTACAGCCCAGAGCAGGGGCCTCTCCTGCCTGGGGGAACTGCCTAGAACACTTTCAAAGGTGCTCATTAAAAACTTTGAGTAAACAGATGAAAATAAACAAGTCTGCATTGCCTCTTGTTTCTGATATCACCTCACCCAGGTTTTCCACTCTCTGGGGCTTAGAACCCCTTCTAGTCCCCTTGTTCTCTTTGGCATGAGTCAGGGGATGGGGCATGAGGGTACAGGTATCAGCTAAATCAAAGGTTTGGGGTTTTGCCGACAGAAGAAAAACTCCTCCAGGCATCCCAAATCTGCTCTAGTGATCTGCTTTCCAGCCTGAAGAATGTATGGGTTTGAGCCAATTTGCCAAGTCACTTGGTGGCCAGAGCACCCAGGATAAGGGGCGGGCTGGGCTGTTCCTGGTAAGGGAGCAACACCTGGAGAGAGCTGGAGACCAAGCCCCATGGACAAGTGTAGGTAAATGTGATACCACTGTGAACAAAGTGCCACCGAGGCAGCCACAGTACGAACATGGCCAGGAGAGCCTGTCCTCCCTACCTGGATCGTACAGGATTGGAGCAGGGCCAGGCCATCGGCCCCTGGTGTCCAGGCCACACTAGCATTGCTGCTGGAGAGCTTTGTCACTGTGATGTTAAAGGGGGCTGCAGGCAGTGCTGTGGACAAGGAGTGAGAGTCAGCGTCCTGGACTCAAGTGCCCGAGAAGGAGTCAAGCCTCAAGTCCCTCCCTAAGGCCTGGGGTCCCCCCAACCTGATGATGGCTACCCAGCACTCCCAGCACCACAGTCATATACAAGCCAAGAAGCCAGTAGGGGAGAGCTGCTCATACCAGGGAGAGTGTTATCAGCTGGCTGCGGGGAGAGGTCGCCTCTCTCTGAATCAGGGTCCCTATCTGGCCAAGGAATAGGATAAGAGAGTGGGTGTGGCGGGGAAGGGGGGACAACAGTACCTCTGCCTTGGAAGAGACAATTGAGAGGCAGCCCCTGCAGCCACAACCCATTCCCCCCCCCCCCCACTGGTTCTCTCCCTCCCAACTTTCCTCCCTTTGTGCACACCAGCCCTTTGGATCTCCGCTATCATCCTGCTAGGCTGTTTTTCCCAGCCCCATTCCCTCCACAGGGACTGGCAGAAGCAAGGCTGGGCATGAGCCTTGACCATCTCCTGCTGGTTCCCTCCCTCCCTCCTTCCCTCCCGAGGACTCTGCATCGTGATGGGAAATCTGCTGTGACGTCAGGTTTCTATTCTCATCTCAGCCATGGCAGGGTCTCAGGTGCTCTCACTAGGGATGGAGCTCTGCCAATTAACCCTTCATCCCTCAGGTCCCAGCAGGGCCTCGGGAAGCCGGAACACCAAATGATTGTAACTTCACCCGGCTGCTGGACAGCTGGCTGCAAACGCCCCTGCCTCACTCACCCTCCCTCCCTCCTGCCAGTCCTCCTACCTTGAAGGCGAACAGTGGCTGGGCGAGAAGAGGCCAGGCCTTTAAGGTTGTGAGCTTCACAGGAGAACACGGTGCTCTGGGTCACCCCTGACGCCAGAAAACCTCAGTCAGCGCCCCCCAAGCAGCAACTCCCATTCAGCCTGGGACTGGGGAAGGGGGTTTGTGCAGGCTCTGGATCTGAATATCCTAGAAGTCCCTCCAGCCAGAGGAAGGGGCTAGACAGGTTGGAACAACCAGGGACTTTGGAGTCTAACGAGCCTGGCTATAAACCCCAGGGCTGGGGCTCTGTCTTCTCATCTCTTGAATTGGGAGGATTGTGCAAACCCACATAAAGCGTGCGGCACACAGTAAGCACCTGAGAAAGGTCATACTACTCCCCCTGCCTCAATCCCACCTCCCGCAGACAGCACAAAGCTGCCTCCCTTCTCTGTTCGCTCCTCTATTGTACAATCCAGAGCCCTTCTCTGTTTGCTCTATGCCCGCATCATTGTTGATTTGCAGATTCTTTGCCCTGCAATAGTTCTCAGCATCTTATGCATGTGTCTTGTCTCCCCAATTACACTAATTCCTTGGGGGCTGGACTGACGGCTTCTATATCTTTTGTATTCCTTCGATCCCCCATGGTGCCTAGCACAGTGTGGTGTGTGGAGTAGGAGTTCAGTGAGTGCTTATTATCAGGCCGGCTGCCGGAGGGTCGCAACCACGCACATCTGGAGAGAACTGAACTTCCCTCTCATAGGCTCCAACCCAGCACCTCCCGAACAGGCCCGGTAGCCCACCTCTTCTCAAGATTCATATTGCTAGGGGACTTGGCACATCAGAACCTATCCCTCCCACAGTCCAGTATGTGAGACCAAGCTCAGCCTCCCAACTTCTTTGGTCAGTTCAAGCCTCAACCAGGAACATGAGCTTTATTTCACAGAGAAGGGAGCCTCACAAGCTTCGTATGTGCCTGAGGATCTTGGGGTCCAGGTGGGTGTACAGGCGTTGCTGCTTTGGGTCTAGCTGTGTGGAGGTATGGATAAATATAGTTGTTTGAGAAAATGTCTAGAAATTTCTGGAAAGGGTCATTAGGAGAGGAGGCTCCTGTTTCTTTGTGCTGCACCCCCCCCCTTTCCTTCTCCCTGCCATTCCCCACTCTGCAGCCCTAGACTCTTGTCTTCTAGGCAAGCCTGCCAGACACTCCTCCTAGCTCTGCGTGGGCTGGTTCCCGGCTCCTTCCCTTGGGAGGGGTGGGGGGAACGGGTGCCCCTGGTTTCACAGGACTCATCTCCCAGGGCCAGCTGTGCACGGCCTGGACTACCGTGCAGGACGGAAAGAGGCTCCAGAGGCCTCAAGCACGCCCAGCAGGATCACCACTGAACCACTGATCAGCTCCCTGGCCAGCCTTGCACACCTGACTAATGAGCTTAGTAACGGTGCAGCTCACGTACCCAGGCACCAGGGTGTGCTTTAGACACTCACAAGAGCAGACTTGGTGATTTGCACAGATTTGCACGCTGCCAGCCTCACCAACCCTACTCAAAGCCCCCTCCTGAGGCTGCTCACCTGTTACATTTAAAACAGAGGGAGAGGGAGCGGGCCCCCACACCTTCGTGCCTCCTCTCCACCACACAATGGTAACAGGTTCAGGGGGGCCCACGGCCTCACAAGACAGTTGGAAAGGGGCATTGGGTGGTACTGCCAGATCTTTCGGCTCCACAGTGAAGAATGGCACACCTGGGGAGAAAGGGGGGTGGAGGGATGAGCCTTGCCACTTCTCAGTTTCCAACTACCCAAGCCACAAGTTTGCTACCATTTGCAGCCCTCTATGCAGAAGGTCCTACAGGTCCCTTAGGACTGGGTCAAACTGCAGAACAGGCGTCTAGCTTGAGGGGGGAAGCTTCCCTTCTTTGGGCACCTTAGGAATATCCTTTATGCTGTCCCCTTGGGCATGGTAGATTCTCGCTTCCCAGACCTGCTCTGACGGCCTTCCCAGAGCAGGGGAGGAGGCAGAGGGTGGGGAGCTGGGGGAAGGTCAGAAAGGGAGGGGGAGTGGGCGGAAGCTTTAGCAGAGTTCTGCTGGCAGGCCCCAGATCCCGTTCAGGGCCCTTTGTTACTTTCTTAGTCACTTTGTTTTCCTGAGCTGAACAGCTCTGAGCTCCCGCAGCTGCGGATCCTTCCTCCCCTCCCCCAGCCCTCCCCTTCCTGGCCTGGCCACTTGGCAGAACAGGGTCCAGCCCCAGATGGGTGCTTAGGCTTGCTGCTCAGACAACTGAAACTGACTGCACCCCATAGACTGGAGGTCCTCATCACCCCCTTGGCTGTGAAATACCCAGACTCCAATGAGTAGGGTCTTCCGATGTCTGGGGTAGGGAAGGCCTGGAGCCTGGAGCAATCGGGCCTCAGAGGGCAATGGGGCAAATCAGCTTCCACTGAGCTTTCTTCTGCAGACGTGTGGTCACTAGCAGACAGCACCTGCTCCAGGCCAACATGCCCACTCGTGTCTCTGCTTCCTCACCTTCTACCGTGAGCCACACTGGCTGGGAGGTCTCCATTTCACCCCCATCCTCCACCTGGCACCAGTACCGGCCTGCATCAGAGCGCTCCACTGACTTCAGGCTGTGGAAACAGGACACCAGGCTCACCTCCCAGGGTCAAGGGGGTGCGCAGCTATGCTGGGCAGACTCAGTGCGTTCAGCCTGCCCCCACTTCTGGAAGTTTCCACAGGTTGCCGAATAAAAAAACCCAGACCTCTGGGCATCAGCATTGCCCCCAGCTCCCAAGCCCAGGGAAAAAGCACAACCTGCCCCCAGGCTGGCATGCACACTCTCCCCCAGGGTCCTGCACCTGAGGAAGCCAATCCAGTGCTGCTCACTGACTGGGATGTACACCTGATCCACACTCTGGACCACAGCCCCGTCCTTCACCCACTGTATCTCGGGCTCCTCCATTCCCTCCACACTGCAGTTGAGCTTCACTGGCTGCCCCTGAGACACGGTCAGCTTCACCGGGGCTCCCATGAGCTTCAGGCCTGAGAGGTGGGAAGGAGAAGGTGTCAACCCGCTTGACAGGGACTCTGTCCCTGGAAATATCCCCCATCCTCTTCCAGAACCTAGGTTCTGGGTCAGAGGGCTCATCCTCAGCTAATGGTCAAGAAAGCAGAGGTTGGACAGTGTGGGAGGGAAGGTGGTCTGGGCCTTGGCTGGGGGAAGGAAAATGACAAGCTCTCCAGCCACATGTCTGCCACTGCCAAGTTCCCCCCAGCTCCAAGGAAGTGACCTCTTCCCCATACCTCCTGACTGGGCCATGTTAAGTTCAAGCCCAACCACCAAAAAGAAGGCAAGCCAGGCCAAAAAGGTAGGGCCCTCACATACACCTGGGGCAGGTACCGCTGCACCCCTGTAGTTCAACAGGCGGCCAGCTCTCTGCCCGCCCGAGGTGTCTGGCCAGACTTCACACTGCTGCTGGCACACCCCTGCACCCCACCCTGGCAAATGAAAGGAGGCTGAGGAAGAGAAGGAGGGGGTGCTCCCCTGAAGTGGAGAACATATGGCTGCAGAACCACGTCAGATCAAACACATGGCAGCTTTCCTGGCAGCCACCCGCTCTATTAATACCTGAATGTGTGCAGGGGCGGGTGCTAGGGAGGTAGGAGGTAGAAGGGAGGGGAGGGGCCCTGAAGAGGGAGCCCAAGACCCCTGAGCTGTCACACCAACAGGAGCCACCTTGCGTAATGCTACCTCTGCATACACACACACACACACACACACACACACACACACCCCTCCTGGTCTCCTGTCATGTTTTTAAGCAGAGGGGCAGGTGAACTATCCACAGAACTGAATCCAGTCCTGCTTCTTCCTGCCCTTTGCTGTGCAACCCTAGGCAAATTCTTGGGCTCTCTGATCCTGAGATACACATCTTTCAGCTTGTAAATACTTGTCAACTTGTCACTCTTTGCCTTCCCTTCCCTGAGAATCTCATATAGCAGGGAGTGCCATCTCAGACAAGGTGCCAGCTGAGGCTGCTGCTTTAGCCTGTGACACAGGGCCGGTCACAGGGCAGGGAGGGATGACCTCACACCCCATACACACCCAACAGTCCCAGAGGGACCTGGGAACTTGGAGAGTAGCCCTCCTATAACCGGCCAATGTCTCCATGGCCACGTGGGAACACAAGGCTAGCCCCCACGAAGACCAGCAACCTCGCTCCAGCCCATCCTCGCCAGCATTCCCTGTTTCAGGAAGCTCTGAGCGGGTACAGGAACTAGAGTATGTCCAGATGTTTTCCGTGACTGGGCACCCTCACAGCCCCTGTACCTAAATGGGGTAGGTGTGCCTCTTGGGTGCTGAGTCCAGCCCCTGTGGTTTCAGAGTGGGGCTCTCGTGTGCAGGGCGGGCAGAATGGGGTCCCCAGGACTGGGAGGGGAGAGCAAACAACCAGACACGTCGAGGCGGGAAAATCCCCTCTGACCACTCAGCCCACAGCCCCACTCCCTTCCCCTTCCACCCCGCCAGAAGAGCCCCGGACGCGAGAAAGTTGGGGGTGGGGCTCCGGCCCAAGAACCTGCAGCGGACGCTGCGCTGCGCCCCCCTCCCCCAGCCCCCAAGCCTCGGCCTTCCAGCTTCGTCCCCCCACCCAAGTCTCCGGCCCGCCCAGGCCGGGACTCGCTCCGCGGCGGTCCCTGGGCGCCCACCCGGCCGCGCCCCTCCGCAGCGCCCCCGCGTTCCGCCGCCTCCCGACCAACCCCTACCTGCGGCCGCGGGCTCCGCCAGCAGCAGAGCGGCCAGACCCGCCAGCAGCAGCGGCGGCGGCGGCGGCGGCAGCGGCGGGAGCCCCGGCCGCCCCATGCTCCGCCTCAGCGCCATCGGCCGCGACGCCGCACCATGCCGGGCCCGGCCCGCGAGCGACAAGGGAGGAGGGAGGAGGGACAGAGGAGGAGGGACGAGAGAGGACGGCCGCGGGAGGGGCGGGGGCCGTCCCGGGGGGCGGCGCTGGGGCCCGCGCCTCCGAGACCCGCGCCCGCTGCGAGTCGCCGCGGCCGCCGTCAGCAGCGCGGGGTCCCCGGGGCCGCTGCTGGGCCACCGCGCTCCTTCCACAGCCGTCGCCGCCGTCGCCGCCGCCGCTGATTCATGTTCTGCGAGCCGCCGCCTCCTCCCCAGCCCGCCGGCCCTCAAGCCCGAGCTCGTACCGCCCCCCCGCGGAGCCTCGGGCGGCTCGCTCGGAGCGCCTACCCGGCCGCCGCCTGTCCGGCCGGCCCCCGCCCTCCGGCCTCCCCAACCGCCGCGGCACCCCGGGCCAGCTTCCCCAGGGCCGACCAGAGGATCGGCCGGGTGCCCGGGTGGCGCACTCAGCCACGCCCCTCCTTTCCCTAAACACTTTCCAGCATCCTTTCAGACCCAGCACTCCGGCTCCTGCTGTCAAACCTCGCTAGAGCCTCTGTCGCACCCCAACTTTTGTCCAGGCTCTGATGCCAGAATCCCGTCCCCCGTCTCAGGCCATAAAGCATCTCAGTCCCCTAAATTCCCAATCGTCGGGGCCCCCGAAATCGTGACTCAAGGCTCCCCCCTCAGGACCTACTAACACCCCTTCCTGCCTCTTTCTTGAGCCTTTCACCCAAATTTCCGATATTCGTGCTCCATTTCCCACCCCTTTATCTCCAGGATCTTGGGCCTTGGGTCTCGAGTTTTCCAAGATCTTTTTGGTAATCCTCAGGTTTTATATCTGACATCCCCACTGCTACACTACACAGGCCAAAGCCCCATGGCCCGTATCTTTGGGGGTTGTCATTCTTCCTAGTTGCTTCCTCTGCATCTACACGCCCCCCGCAACCTCTAAGACATGGTGTGAAAGTTGGCTGTGTCCTCACAGTATCCAATAAAACCTTAGCTATTATTAGTAGACCACCTTGCACACAGTAGGCATTCCATAAATAAGCAGACAGATGCCTGTTAAATTAATGAATGATTGCCTCAGAGCTTGGTCTGCCCCACAACCAGTCATCACGGGGGTGGCTGTGCCTGAAGCCATCCTGTCAGGCAGATGCTGAGCCGGTTCCAAATGCAGCCTACCAAGTGTTTCCCCTCCTCTCGCCCTTGCCTCTCTACCTGTCCCCCAGAGCCGACTCCAGAGGGCCCTTCCCAGAAGTCCTGGGTAGGGAGGAGGAACGAGCCACTCAGTCCCCTGTCCCCACAGCCCCACTGGATCTTTCCAGGGATTCTCCCAAGCAGCAGCGGCCTGCCTCTTCCTCCACTTGGCCCCATCAGTGCTTGCTTATTAAGTATCCTAATGATAACAGCAACAGCAGTGCCGGCGGCAGCCTCAGACCCAGCTCCGGGCGCCCTCAGGTGGCAACACGGGGAGACACCCCAGAAGGGCTGTCAGACTTGGATGGCAGGGGCCTGAAGTCTGTGTGTAGCTGGGTGCTCTGCCAGTTTTCTTGGGTGCTGTGGGTGGGCTCCAGGATCCTTTCTTAAAGGAAAATACTTGTTCCTTTCCAGAGGCCACAGCTTCTGCATTTGGGTTGAGTCGGATCAGGGCAGGCCGACCGCAGTCTGGGGCTGAAGCCAGGGTCGCCGGGGCCGAGCTACTGGGGCCAGGGGGCGCTACAGCTCTGCCCTCGGGCACTTGTCACTCCTCAAGGCCCTCTCCCACATCTCTTCTCTCTCCAGGGGACTTCAAGTTTCCAGTGAAAGAAAGCCTCCTCCTATTGACTCTGGTTGACATTGGAAAGACTCTCTCCTAAAGGATGTTGAACCCAGAGCCCAAACCCAACTTCCCACTTCCTTTTCTCCCCTCATTTCCTCCATTGTTTCCTGAACTCTGACAGGGAATCCCAGACTGAGGATGCCCCTTAGCTACCAGTCCAAATGGGCTTCTTGGACATGTTGGGGATGCCACCGCCTTCTGCACTCACAGCCTAGACAAATTCTTATCTCAGCTGCAGGCCTCAGGCACATCACTGTTTCCCTGGGGCAGCACGCTTTCCTGGTGGGGCCAAGGAGCTCTGAGTCTCTGCTTTCTCTACCCCTGCTTTTGAATCCTTCTCAATTCTTAGTATTTCTAAGTATTTCTGGGTCCTGGTCTTCTGACTTTCTAGCTCCCACATAGAGTGCTTACCTTCCTGAGCCCTAGCAACAAATTTTTACCTATCTCTCTCTCTCTCTCTCAGCATGGTATAGGAACGTGCTTTAAGAGTATGTGAGCAGGTGTGATTCTGTGGAAGAAGTGTGTAGGTGGGTGAGAGGGTGTGCATTGTGATGTGTGAGGGAGGGTGTGCATTTGTGCAAACTCTAAATGTGACTGACACTTTGTGGGTGGATGGGGAGAAAGTGTGTGTGTGTGTGTGTGTGTGTGTGTGTGTGACTTGAAGGAGGTTGGCCGCCTGTGCAAATACATGCCTGCAAAATCTCCCTTTCTTTCATAAACGCATTGCTTTGACGGGAACTAATCAAATCAACAGGAAATGTATTTGACATAATGCAGGAGCAGCTGTCCCAGGAGTTCCTGTCCTCAGAACAGAACCAGAGCCAGCTATGATCTACTCCAGGGGAGTAAGAAGGGACCACAAGGGAGAGGAAGGGCTAGCAGCAGCCCCTTATTATGGATGGAGCTAGGTTGGGCCCTGGCATCTCCCTATTTGGGTGAAGTAAGTATCTGCCCACTCTGCCTTTTATGATCCAGGACTGCCCAAGGAGGCCAGGGATAGAGAGAAGACACAGACAAACCTGGAAATAAAAACCATCTGCCTGGGGCAGCTGGGTGGCACAATTAAGCGTCTGACTCTTGATTTCCAGCTCAGGTCATGATCTCAGGGTTGTGAGATCCAGCCCCAAGGCCCACAGCAGGCTCGTGCTGGGCATGGAGCCTGCTTGAGATTCTCTCTCCCTCGCCCTCTGCCCCTCCCCCTCTCTCCAAAACAAACAAACAAAAAACCATCTGCCCATAGTAGCAGAATCCCTTGATGACAACTTCCATCAGTCTCAGGAAACAGCTGCTTCAGCTTTGTCAGAGTTAGGACCTTCTCCTCCCATCCTCCCCATTCAAGGAAGAGGCTGTATGGGCCAAGAAAGAACCAAGGTGAGCCATGGGATCAAGGTAGTCTTGCTGCCCTGTGAGCAAGGATCCATTCTTTCTGAACTACTGGTTCAAGAGGTGAGTTGGGAAATGCCACTTCCAGAATGGGCAGGCCGCAGACTGTGCTCCCCATCACCTTAGAGAAAGCAGGGAGGAAAACTGGGCTTGGAGGAAAACTGCCTGCAGGTGTGATGCCAGGGGCCACTGGGGATGGCCCCTGTGCCTGCCAAACACCCCTTGCCTGAAATTCCGGAGTCAGAAACAATGCCACGCCTTGCCCAAGTGAAGACAAAACAGAAAGGTAAATCCCTAGAAGAGATTAAACTTCAATGTACAGTCACAGAAGGACTTTCAAATGGTCAGACTTTTTCCCCAAAAGCAAACTTAGGAGGTCGGAAGACAGCAATAAGTTTGGGGTTTCTGAAACAGCACCTGGGTCTAAGCATATGAAAGAAAAAAACTGTCTTCAAAATTTCACCTAGGGATGGCCCTGAAAGGAAGCATTCCATGTGTGAGTAAAGGGTCCTTGTCAGCTGACGAAGGAAATATATATGTGTGAGTGTGAGTATATTTGTTTGAATGCCGTATATCTAGCTGTCTGTGTTTCTCTTTTTGACCCTTTTTACAGCTGGCAAGTGATGCTTTTCTGGTTCTATTATTTATTTATTTATTTATTTATTTTTAAAAGATTTTATTTATTTATTTGACAGAGAGATAGAGAGCACAAGTAGGCAGAGAGGCAGGCAGAGGGAGAGGGAGAAGCAGGCTCTTCGGAGCTGAGCAAGGAGCCCGATGCGGGGCTCGATCCCAGGACCCCGGGATCATGACCCGAGCCGAAGGCAGCCGTTTAACCGACTGAGCCACCCAGGTGCCCCTCTGGTTCTATTTAAAAAAAAAAAAAAAAAGTTTTTTTTTTAAGTAGGCTCCACAATGGGTGTGGAGCCCAATGCGGAGCTTGAACTCACGACCCTGAGATCAAGACCTGAGCCGAGATCAAGAGTTGGATGCTTAATCGACTCAGCTGCCCCTAAAAAATTTTTATTATGAAACATTTCAAACATATACACAAGTAGGGAGAAAAGTATAATGAATCCCCCGTGTATCCATCACTCTGCTTCAATAATTATCTTAGGGCGCCTGGGTGGCTCAGTTGGTTAAGCGACTGCCTTCAGCTCGGGTCATGATCCTGGAGTCCCGGGATCAAGTCCCACATCGGGCTCCCTGCTCAGCAGGGGGTCTGCTTCTCCCTCTGCCCTCTTCCCTCTCGTGCTCTCTGTCTCTCATTCTCTCTCTCAAATAAATAAATAAAATCTTTAAAAATAAATAAATAAAAATAATCTTAGCTATTTGTCTTCCATTGTCCCATTTTTTGGTGTTTTCCCAGACATTTAATTTTTTTAAATTTTATTTATTTATTAATGTGTATGTGTGAGAGAGATAAAGAGAGAGGGAGAGCACAGAGAGTGAGAGGGAGAAGCAGAGTCTGCTGAGCAGGGAGCCTGATGTGGGGACTCAATCCCAGGACCCTTAGATCATAACCTGAGCCGAAGGCAGATGCTTAACCAACTGAGTCACTCAGGCACCTCTTCCTAAAGTTTTTAAAAGCAAATTTTAGGGGCGCGCATGTGCGCGCACACACGCACAAGCAATGGGACAGGCAGAGGAAAAGAGAGAGAATCTCAAGCAGGCTCTCATCCAGGCACACTGGTTCATTAATTCTAACAAATATACCATGTTAATGTAAAATGTTAAAAACAAGGGAAACTGGGGCACCTGGCTGGCTTGGTAGGTTGAGCATGTGATTCTTGATCTCGGAGTCCTGAGTTCAAGCCCCACATCAGGCATAGAGCTTACTTTAAAAAAATGGGAGGGGTGTGCCTGGCTGGTTCAGTTGGAAGAGTATGTGACTCTTGATCTCCTGTTGTGGGTTCAAGCCTCACTTTGGATGTAGAGATTACTCAAATAAATAAACTTTTTTTTCTTTTTTTTAATGGGGGGCAAGGGCAACTCTCTCAGGTCCCCTCCCTTTTCAGGAGCTTTGTACTCTATAATTCAATGAACTTTACAAAGAAAAAAAATGGTGCACCTGGGTGGTTCAGTCAGTTAAGTGTCTGCCTTAGGCTCAGGTCATGATCACAGGGTCCTGGATCAAGCCTGCATTGGGCTCCCTGCTCAGAGAGGAGTCGGCTTCTCTCTCTCCCTCCCTCTGCCCCTCCCCCTGGCTCGTGCTCTCTCTCTCACAAATAAATAAATTAAATCTTAAAAAATAAATAAATACAATCTTAAAACTATTCCAAAATAAAGTTTATTTAAAAAAAAAACCCACATCCATAACCAATAATTTTTTTAAAAAAATCCTTATTATAAAATCCAGTTTGTGTTTAGTTTTCCCCAACAGTCTCAAAAAAACATCTTCTTACATTAGGCTTGTTTGAACCGAGATCCAAACAAGGACCATATATTTAATTGTAATCTTTGTATTTGTAAATCTATAAAAGGTCCCCCTCCTCTTTGGAACATGAAATTTATAGAAGAAACTGGGTCATTTGTAGAATTTTGCACAATTTGGGTTTGGTTAATTGTATCCTTGTGTTTTTTTTTTTTTTTTTTTTTTTTTTTTTTTAAAGATTTTATTTATTTGCGAGAGAGAGAATGAGAGACCGAGAGCATGAGAGGGAGGAGGGTCAGAGGGAGAAGCAGACTCCCCGCCGAGCAGGGAGCCCGATGCGGGACTCGATCCCGGGACTCCAGGATCATGACCTGAGCCGAAGGCAGTCGCTTAACCGACTGAGCCACCCAGGCGCCCTATCCTTGTGTTATTAAAATGTTCCTCTACCACTCATATTTCCTGTAGACTGGTAGTTAGATCTAGATCCTTCACTAGATTCAAGTTCAGTTTTTTGGCATGAAGGTTTCTTGGGAAGTGTTTTGTAACTTCCAGTTTCATCAAATCAGGAGCACATTATGTCCAGTGGTCTCACTTTTAGTGATGTTCATAAATTGGCAACCTGATCCATCATTCATAAAATCCTCACCAACCTTTCACCTAATAGTTTTATCAGCCATTGACAATCATTGCCTGGAGTGATTATTTCATTAGTGGTTACAAACAATGATTTTCTACTATCATTCTTCCAGCATTTCTAGCTCCAGTTCCCCTCCTTCACTCCCCATAACTTCTGACCAGGTCCAGTACTATTTTGGACCCCAAGGATGGCTAAAGCCTAGTAGCTGAAATTTACGGCTGCAGTTGAGACCAAAAGAAGGATCCAGTAGAATACCTGGAAACTTGTTAGAAATGCAAATTCTTGGATCCTGTCCAAGACCTACTGAATCAGAAACTCTTGAGGGTGAGGCCCAGTAATCTGTTTTAACAAGCCCTTAAGGTGATTCTGATGCCTGCTAAAGTTTGAGAACCAATGGACTAACACTGGCTGCCCTAAGATGGCCTTCAGTGAAGCAATGATTTGCTAAGGTCCTAAATTTATGGCAATATGCTGGGTGCTGAGCACTACTGATGCAAAAAGAAGGCCTGGTGCCCCCAAGGAACTCACAGTCTCTGCAAGAGAACAGCACATATGCTTGTGAAAAGGTGACCGGTGATAGCTGATAATTGGCAGTGCATCCCCAACAAGCCACACAAGTGGCACAATGGAGGATTCCAAGGAAGTTCAGTGAATAGGCCTGGTTGGCAGAGGTTTTAGAGTTCACTCTAGCTAGGCCTTAAAAGAAGAGAAAGACTTTGGGGGTAGGAGGTGGGAGAGAAGAAAGGGAGGATTTCCACGAAGAGACACTTACATGAACAAAGGTGGGATGCTCACGAAGGGGATCACCCTGTGGGCAATGAGACTATTTTCTTCTCTCTTCTCATCACTGCCATTCCTACAGTTTCTTCCTTAAGCCTCGCCTTTCCTTTTACATGCTTACCTTCTTGCTCACCCATAAACGCAGTGGGGAGGTCACCTTGGTGTGTGCCGGTGTCTGGGTGCTGCCCACAAGCTTGGGTGCTGGGTTTAGGATGTGATTATCCGGGCTGGTGAATGCAGAGGGGCGTCTGAAGTACACTTTGCCTCTGTCACGGGTGTCGTATGTGCAGAAGGGCCTCATCATGCCTGCTGTACATCCAAAGGATGAGTGTCTTGGGTGTCAGCATAGAGCTTACGTGGTGGGGTAGGGCAGGGCTAGCAGAGTATATTCGCGCTCAAGGGTTCCGAGCGCAGGGGCACCCGGCTGGCTCAGTTGGAAGAGCACCCGACTCTCCATCTCGGGGTGGAGCTGGGCCCCACATAGGGCGTCGAAATTACTTAAATAAATAAACTTTTTTCTTTTTTTTTTTTTTTAAGATTTTATTTATTTATTTCAGAGAGAGAATGAGACAGAGAGAGGATGAGAGTGGGGAGGGTCAGAAGGAGAAGCAGACCCCCCGCTGAGCAGGGAGCCCGATGCGGGACTCGATCCCGGGACTCCAGGATCATGACCTGAGCCGAAGGCAGTCGCTCAACCAACTGAGCCACCCAGGCGCCCAAATAAATAAACTTTTTAAAAAAGGGGGTGTGTGTCCCGGCGCCAAGCCGGCAAACCCCAGAGGGGGTGGAGCCAGGCCAGGGAGAGGCGGGGCTGGGCTGCGGGGCGGAAGCTCGAATCTGGTGGTGGCGGAAGCGCGGCCGTTGCGGGGCAAGATGGCGGCGCCCAGGCCGTAATAAGGTAAGTAAGGGGCTACGCTGGAGGAACGGACTTCGGAGTTCCCCGGCGGAGGGCTCTGGTACAGGGTATCCAGTTTCTTTGTGGGAGCCTCCCCGAGTGTCTTTGCTCTACATTGGAGTGGCCGCGGCCTCTTCGGTGTGAAGACCCCGGCCACGGCCCTCCATCCGCAGGCTGCATAAGCTGAGACTCGGTAATTTCTCTGTTGAATCGGATGGTCCAGAAATGTCCGCGGCCGCAGAGCGCTAGGGGCAGTTGTCGGGCCAGACAGTGTACAAGTCTTGTACTTCTTTGGTGAAAAAAAAATTTTTTTTTTAAAGATTTTATTTATTTATTTGAGACAGAGAGAATGAGAGGGAGGAGGGTCAGAGGGAGAAGCAGACTCCCTGCCGAGCAGGGAGCCCGATGCGGGACTCGATCCAGGGGCTCCAGGATCATGACCTGAACCGAAGGCAGTTGCTTAACCAACTGAGCCACCCAGGCGCCCATTCTTTGGTGAAATTTAATCCTAAGTGTTTTGCTCTTTTTGATGCGATTGTAAGTGACATTGTTTTCTTAATTTCATTTTCTGATTGTTCTTTTTGCTGGTGTATAGAAATACAGATGATTTTTATATGTTGATCTTTTGTAAGCCCAAGGTTTTTTTGTTTTTTGTTTTTAATAATTTGAACACCTTTAGGCCAGGCATATTCTCTCCAGTTTGATACAGAATCATTACTCCCTATCCACCTGGCTCCTGATGTTATTTTTCTTAGATTCCCTACAGTTGTTCCTGAGACTTTTTATCATCCACAGGTTGTAAACAATCTTCAGTTGGCAGTAAATATTATTAGGCTGATGACATCAAGGAGGGCTAAATAGGGAGGGAATGGCAATAAGTTATGAATGAAATAGAATGACTTGATGTGAACCTAAGAAGTGTCTTTAATTTTTTTTAAGATTTTATTTATTTATTTGACAGAGAGACAGCAAAAGAGGGAACACAAGCAGGGGGAGTGGGAGAGAGAGAAGCAGGCTTCCCACCGGGCAGGGAGCCCGATGCAGGGCTGGATCCCAGGACCCTGGGATGACGACCTGAGCTGAAGGCAGATGCTTAACGACTGAGCCACCCAGGTGCCCCAAAAGTGTCTTTTCTGATGCACAATAAAGAGAATCAGGGTTCATTTGCAGAGGGCCCATCAGCTTTATTGTTTGTAGGGTTGAATGAGAGGGAATCCCCACACCAAAGCAGTGCTGGAAAGAATTGTACAAGAGAGGCAGCTGGAGTATCAAGATGCTGTCGAGACCAAAGCCAGGGGAGTCCGAGGTGGACCTGCTGCGCTTCCAGAGTCAGTTTCTTGCAACTGGTGCAGCTCCAGCAGTACAACTGGTGAAGAAAGGAAATAGGGGAGGTGGCAACGCTAACCTGGACCAGCCTCTGCTGCAGGATCGTCGGGATGTGGTGACACTGGACAGTGAGTGGCTGTGGGTGTGAGGCTGAGAAGGAGAGAGGGTATGGCCTCCGGGTCCTCTCCCTCTTCCTAATGTGGCTGGATTTTTCCCCATCATTATTTCAGACACTGCATAGTCTCTGTTGCTGCAGCCCCATTTTACGTATGAAGAAACTGAGGTTCGCAGAGGTTAAATATTTTGCCCAAGGTGACACAGTTTGAGCCAGGGCCCCACAGCAGCTGCCTTTCTTTCTTTGGTTTCCTCCTGCCCTCAGTCTCTTCCTGGGAAGGAATGAGTATCCTCACATCTGGGTTTTTTTCTTTCTCAGATCTCCCAGATTCGCCCCCAGCTTTGGTTCCTGCTCCCCCAAAGAGAGCTAGACCCAGCCCCGGCTGCCCCCTGCCTGAACATGAAGACCCTGAAGAGAGGCTGAACAGGCACGATCAGCACATCACTGCCGTCTTGACTAAGATTATTGTGCGTCTCACCCTGGTTGAGTGGGATGAGGCATCCTGGGGCAGCAAGGATAGTGGGTGGGAGTGGTGAGCCGTATGAGTAGAGGTTGATTCCAGAAAGGTGGGACTTTAACCCCCTGCAGTCAGTTTGGGGCTGCTTTAGAATCACTGTGCCCAAAGAAGCAACGTGGGTTCAGGACTCCCTAGAGAGATTCTAGTCATACAGAATTGGGGATAGTGGGATAGTGTCCATTCTGGGGACATCTCAATATCTTCACTACTTTGTGCTTTGTTGCTGCAGGAACGAGATACAAGTTCAGTGGCAGTGAATCTGCCTGTGCCCAGTGGTGTTGCTTTCCCTCCTGTGTTCCATCGCTCACAGGAGAGACAGGTAGGCAAGGTGCTTAGATGGTACTTAGGAGACATTAGGTAAGCCTCATAGTGCATCTTCCTCAGGCAGATAATATGAATAATGTTAAGCAATTCTCTTGTTAAGGCAGCACCATGCTAAGCACTTTACACACGTTACTTAACAACCGTGTAAGGTAGGTATCATCCCCATTTTTCAGATGAGGAAACTGAGACCCTGAAAAGATAAGTAACTTGTCCAACATCACACATCTAATAGATAGAAGAACCAGAAATCCAACCCAAATTTGTCAGACTTCAAGACCTGTTCTCCTATAGAGCCCTGCTTTTTCTGAGGACTAGGGTTGTGACCCTTGGAGATTAAGCAAGTCCCTTTTATCTCTTTGTTCCAGTGGCCTTAGTGTAAAGAGGTTGAGAGGAAAATGGGGTAGTGAGCATCAGTCACCTGAGTTTTCTTTTTGCCCCATAGGGGAAGTCTGCAACGTCTGGTAAGAGAAGCATCTTTGCCCAAGAAATTGCAGCAAAGAGAGCATCTGAAGCCAGAGTCCTACCAGTTAGAGAAGTTGTGTCTACCCTGGATCCACCAGAGGGTAAACTGGGGTTGAAGAGACTTGGGCATGGCCTTTTAGAGTCACCTTGGGGTATATGTCTTCCCTGCATCAGATAGGAAGGCATATTTAGATGGCATTTGAGCCATCTAAAGAGATAGCTGTCCCTTATGCCCACTTACAGTATTGAGTATGGGTGGCTTGGGTCTACATCTGGGTCTTAGGTGCAGGGAGAATGCTGGCCATTATTCGATCCTAGGAGGAAGGAAGGAGACAGAGGTATTTGTCAGAGACTGTAAAGTAAAGATGTAGACCAAGATTCCTTTAATGATGCAAATTATTAGCAGAAGAGCAGGGGGAAGGCTTCTGGAAGCAGATAGCTACATGGAGATTCAAGAGAGGAGTCAGAAAGTAGGATGTTTCCCTAACATCCCTCAGAAAGGGGCAAAATGGGTGGAGAGATCTCCACCCAATCCAACCTGTGTTTGTGTTTCAGGGGGAAAAAGGGGTGTCTCAACTCTGTGCCCGGGAAATCCCTGGGGCCTCCATCTGTCTCCAGAGCTAATGGGATTAGGGACGAGGGCCAGAAGGCCCGGCTGGGGCAAGGCCATGAAACTGATGATACACTTCTTCCAGGGACTGCGTCCTGTGAGGCACTCACACCTCGGGAGCAGGGCTGCCAGCTTCCGTGGGGCAGCCGCGGCTTCCAGGGACCCCATCTGGTCACAGGGAGGGGGCTCGGGAGCCAGGATGCTGAGCAAGAAGCCCAGACCATCCATGAAGAGAACATAGCAAAACTGCAAGCCATGGCTCCTGAGGAGATCCTGCGGGAGCAGCAGCTGTTGCTGGCTCAGCTCGGTACGGCACGCCGGGCTTTCCTGCCGGGACTTGGCTCGGAAGGGACTGCCACTTACTGCTGAAGGCTTACTTCGAGGGCCAGGCCTTTGGCTGGGTCTTTGAATGCTTTATTTCATTCTGTCCTCAAACAGTTCCTGTAAGGTAGGTAGTACTAGCTTCTTTTACTTAGGAAAAAAACCTGAGTCTCACAACCTGAAACTCTCCCCCGGGTCATATGGCTGGTAAGGAACACGGATGAGATGTAAACCCAGGTGTCTCGGGTCTGCCAGGCCCTGCTTTCAACCACTCTATCGTGTACGCTGTACTATTCTAGGGTAATGTGTGCCGTATTATAGCTGTGGCATTCTGTATGTTCTGTCTGTGCCGCTCTGCCGTGCCATACCTCCTTCCTGGTTTCCATTCACCACCACAGCAGCACCGAGCCGAGTCAGTCTTGTCCCAGACTCTATACCTAGCATCCTCATAGAGCATACGTATATTAGGTTCTAGTTAATATTTGTGCGTAATAAATTAGCTGAAAGTGAAAGAAATTGTTCCCCTAAATGCCTTCTCTTTGGCCCTAGTCAGCATTCATTCATTTATTCCACAGCCACTTCCTTTGGGCCTCTAACCTGAAGCCAAGCACAGGGATGGGCAGGAACCTGGGTGGGCCAGGGGACTGTGAAGGATGGAGAGAAGGGTGGGTGGGCCGGCCCTAGTGACAGGTGTAGGTCATTGAGGCCCCAGGAGTGCCCAGGGGGCTCAGCCAGGGGTGGGAAGGGGCTTGTCCTGGCCGTGGCACCAGTAGATAGGCAGTATTCAGCAGGTTTCAGGTCTACAGGAGCCGGCGAGGATCGGCCACCACCCGCTCTCCCTTCCATCCTCTCCTCTAGATCCCAACATGGTTGCCTTCTTGAGGTCTCACAACCGCACCCATGAGCAAGCAGCAGAGAAAGCCACAGAGCAGCAGAGACCAGGAGGACACTCTGCTGAGGTCACTGGAGACAAACCCATTGTGCCAACTTCTGCGAGGGAGCCCAGACAGGAAGATGATCCGGATCCAGGAGCCCCAGGTTTGGAGGAAGGGGGACATCTTTGGGGGAATAAAAGTAAAGGAAAGTATCCCTTCTCCTAGGCCTGGCAGATGGAAAAAGAGAGAATCTTCTCTGTCCTTGGACATCTAACATTAATCTTCCTTATTGTCTGGAAATGACTCTTCATTTGCTGATGTGTATGTTCTTCCTACATATGCTTCCTGTTTTCTTGTCCTGTTCCTGCTCCTTGTCCCTCTCTCCCGGGAAGTGGCAGCAGGGCATGACGGCTGGACCCTCCCCCAGCAGATCATCTCCACCCTATCTTTACACAAGCTGCCCCAGCTCTGGCTCTATCCACCCCACAGTTTTCTGCCTCTTGCTATCCATGTTGCAGGGGAGATGGCAGGGCCAGGGCGATGGGAGAAGAGGCTGACGCAGGTCTTAACAAACATGCCAGACCTAAAGCAGAGAGGTCAGTGGGAGCACTCATTTCCCAGGACCTGGATTATTTTATTAGTAATTAACAAAAGAAGAAATTGGATTATGAAAGCCAGGATCCTCTTGCCTCTCAGTGAGCTCCAGGCCAGCTGAGCAGGTCAGGTGGGGGTCGGGGGAGAAGGAGGAGGATGTTCCAGAGGTGTGTTTCTGTATCTTGCCCCTCAGAAGCAGGATCTCTGCTCTTCATTGCCCCACTCCCCTACTTCTTTAGAAGGTCAGTATTAGGCAGTGGAGAACTGTGTTTTCCCTGATACATATGGTCCTCCCTTCCTCCTCTGCTCCCTCTCTCTTCTCTTCTTTACCTTCTCCTCTTTCTCTTGCCCCTCCCAGCAAGTACTTGGAGTCAGCAGCGGGCTAGAGCCCAGGACTAGGTGTGTTCTGCCATATCTGAGCTATCCGCCCAGTTCCCAGGAGTCCAGCCCCTGGGCTATGCCACTTAAGTCTAGCTAAAGGCAGAGGCTGCCAGAGCCTTGGGCAGAGGGAGATGTGGCAGCTGCGGGGTAATGGCTGGGACCCCAGGGGATCAGTGAGCTGAGCTCCTTAGGGAATACTATTCCGCTTCCATCTTCCTAGCTCTGGCACTGCCTGTGACCCCCCACAAAGAATGGGTGCACATGGACACCGTGGAGCTGGAGAAGCTCCACTGGACCCAGGATCTGCCTCCACTCCGGAGGCAGCGGACGCAGGAGGTAAGGAGGGCCAGCTGGCCTGTAAGGGGTAGAGCGGGCTGGGAGTGGCCGTGGAAGCTCTGAGACCACATCACTTCTCCACGTCCCCTTCCCCTCTCTCCCCCATGCTCTTGCACCCGAACTCAGGCCCTTTTCTTCCCTGGAGCTTGAGGAACATTTCTCCTTTGCACTCCTCCTCCTCTCCCCATCAGCCTGCCTGGCCCCTGGGGTCAAGGGAGTTCCATTTCCACTCCGGAGTAGAGTCAGGACCAGAGGCCTGGGATGAAAGGCGAGGAGTGCATATAGGGAAGTTGCCATGTCCCCAGCCTATAGTCTTTTTTCTCTTCCCATTAGAGGATGCAGGCCCGATTTAATCTTCAGGGAGAGCTACTGGCCCCTGATGTGGACCTGCCCACCCATCTGGGCCTGCACCACCATGGAGAAGAGGCAGAGGTGAGGCATGGGGCTCAGGGAGGACTGGGCAGCTCTCAGCAAGTGCTTTTATCAGCCATATGGAAGAGGACCTCTGGTCAGTTATCTTGGACCTTCTGTGTAGCCTGTTCCATTTCATGGCCTTGCTGTCCATAGGTTCTTAGGCTCAAAATGTTTCTCCTCATTCCTTCGCATTCCAGTCAGTTGCCTGAACTTGCCAGTTTTATGTCTGTCACCTCCCCTGGTATTTTTTCGAGAAGAGGCTTGCTCCCTCTTTGTTCAGTCGCCATGTCTTCCCATCCATCGTTCATGGGGCTGCCATACTGATTCCCTCTGGCCCAGCCCAGGCCATGCCTTGCCTTGCCTTGGAAAGTTTCCTGGCTCCCTTCTGCTCACAGAATTGTCGTGGCTGCTTAGCCTTGGCAAGACAGTCCTTCGACAGTCTCTCCCTGCTGACCCTATAGCTCTGCCTTCTCACCCCTGCCACACCACTGTGGTGCTCTACCCCCTCACATACAGCGTGTGCTCAAGGACCTCCAGGCTCAGTTCTTCAGGCCATGGAAGCTCCACCCACCCGCTGAGACCATAGCACTTTTCCATGTCCCTCTTTTCTCTCTTTCCTATTCTCTTGTTACAAGTTAAACACGGATTACTGAATTCCTCCCTCTCTGCTTTATGCCGTGGTTACTTGTGTGCAAATCTTACCTTCTTTACCAGTTTGAGGATCAATCCATGGAGAGAAGAGGCAAGAGAGGGGCACCTGGGTGGCTCAGTCGTTAAGTGTCTGCCTTCGGCTCAGGTCGTGATCCCAGGGTTCTGGGATCGAGCCCCACAGCGGGCTCCCTGCTCAATGGGAAGCCTGCTTCTCCCTCTCCACCCCACCCCGCCACTTGTGTTCCCTCTCTCACTGTGTCTGTCTGTTAAATAAATAAAATCTTTAAAAAAAAGGGGGGGGGGCGAGAGATATCACTTACTTAACTTTGTCTTCCCCTTGACAGCTAACTCAGTGCCTAGAATATAGGGGTTTCTGTGTATTAGTTGGGGGGTGCTGCCCTGTGTGTTGGCTCCTTCTGACATCTTGTCCTTGCCCCAGAGAGCAGGGTACTCCCTGCAGGAGCTCTTCCACCTGACGCGCAGCCAGGTGTCCCAGCAGAGAGCATTAGCACTGCATGTGTTGGCCCAGGTCATCGGCAGGGTGAGTGGACTGCCTGCCCCCATGCCTCACCCCCTCCGACCGCAGCCTTGGACTTCCCCACCTCCTGTCCTTTCTGTTCGATCCCAGGAGCCCATACAGCAGCTCTCTCTGGGGCAGACTGGGAATGGGACAAACCCAGGGTCATAGGTGGGCAAGTGAAGGGTTTAGGACAAAGACTTTGTAACTTCAACATCTTCAGCAAGGTTTTCCCTTGTCCCCAAGGCCCAGGCTGGTGAGTTTGGGGACCGGCTAGTGGGCAGTGTCTTGCGCCTCCTTTTGGATGCTGGTTTCCTCTTCCTACTGCGCTTCTCCCTGGATGACAGAGTGGATGGGGTCATCGCAGCGGCCGTCCGGGCTCTTCGGGCTCTGCTGGTGGCTCCTGGAGATGAGGTACGCAGGGATAGAAATGGGGCTTTGAGGCATCAGGGTCCCTGCCCCTGCTGCTGGGCACACCCTCCCTGCCAAGGCTTTGCCAGGCAGAGCAGAGAACGGGATGGCAGCGTCACTGTCTTCTCTCCTAAGAGCCCCAAAGCCCAGCAGCCTTGCCTTTCTATTCTTGGTGTGAGGTTTCTGCTGACTACTCCTAGGCCCTCTTTCCGGGCCTGACTCCTTTCTCTTCTTTTTTTTTTTTTTTTTTTTTTTAAGATTTTATTTTATTTATTTATTTGACACAGAGAGAGACCGCGAGAGAGGGAATACAAGCAGGGGGAGTGGGAGAGGGAGAAGCAGGCTTCCCGCGGAGCAGGGAACCCGATGCGGGGCTCGATCCCAGGACCCTGGGATCATGACCTGAGCCGAAGGCAGACGCTTAACGACTGAGCCACTCAGGCGCCCCCTTTCTCTTTTTCCCATCCCTTCTCTTCCCTATGTCAGGAGCTCCTCGACAGCACCTTCTCCTGGTACCATGGAGCTTTGGTGTTCCCTCTGATGCCCAGCCAGGAAGACAAGGAGGATGATGAGGATGAAGATGAAGAACATCCAGCAGAGAAAGCAAAAAGGAAGAGCCCTGAGGAAGGAAGCCAGCCTCCATCTGACCTGGCTCGACATGACGTCATCAAGGTAAAGATGCTGGGGCAGCTGCACCTGTCCCACGACCTTGAGGGCAAGCACATCTTTTGGGGGCAGGGGGGTGGTACAGAGAGAGAGAGATTGAGAATCCAAGCAGGCTCCATGCCCAGGGCAGAGCCCGATGTGGGGCTCGATCCCACAACCCTGAGATCATGACCTGAGCCAAAATCAAGAGTTAGATGCTCAAGCTACTGCGCCACCTCAGCGCCCCTATAGGCGAGCACATCTTAGGCAAGAAGGGTCGTCAAGGCTTGGGGCCCAGCTGCGTTTTGCACTGGGTTTCTCTCTCTCATCACCAGGGGCTTCTGGCTACCAACCTGCTGCCTCGGCTGCGCTACGTGCTAGAGGTGACCTGCCCAGCACCTTCTGTAGTCCTTGACATCCTGGCTGTGCTCATCCGTCTGGCCCGGCATTCCCTGGAGTCAGCCACAAGGGTGAGAAAGAGAAGAGAAGGAGACAAGGACTGGGCAAAGAGCCTAGGTGAGCCTGGGCCTGACCCTCAGCCTCCCTGCCTCCCTTTTCTTCCTGTCCCCCACAGGTCCTGGAGTGCCCTCGGCTAATAGAGACCGTGGTTCGAGAGTTCCTGCCCACGAGCTGGTCCCTCAAGGGGGTGGGGCCTGCCCCCAGTCTACACAAAATGCCCTGTGCCACTGCCATGAAACTACTTCGTGTCCTGGCCTCGGCTGGTAGGAATATTGCTGCCCGGCTGGTGAGCAAGACGAAGGTCAAGGGATGAGGGCCTTACGACCGGGCTGGGTTGGGGTCTAAGCATGGCCTCTGGACTCTGGATAACTGGCTCATGCCATCTTCCTCTTCATCTCTGATCCAGTTGCTCTGAATGCAGCAGGAACCACCAGCCAGGAACCTAGTCACCTGGAGTCTAGTGTATCCTATAGGCCTACTGTGCTTTCGTTACCTGAAGGGAGGGCTCCCCCTTCCCTGGACCCAGACCAGAAGAGCCACATAGAGATGGGCATCCATCACCCATAGCCAAGTCACCCAAGCAAGTGCTTGCTGAAAAGAAGGAGGGGAGGGAGGGAGAGATGGATGAGGTAGTTTCATCCTGGCCCACAGTTAAGACCCCGTGGCCCGAGAGGGCCCTGGAATGGGCTGAGTTGAGGCCATCGCCATAGTAAGAGAACCTGAGGCCGCTTGGGCCCCCAGGGGAGTGGGATGTCCAGACTCTGCCCTCTTGCCCTCAGTTGAGCAGCTTTGATCTCCGGAGCCGCCTGTGCCGCTTTATAGCAGAGGCTCCCCAGGAAATGGCCTTGCCCCCAGAGGAAGCCGAGACGCTGAGCACCGAGGCCTTCCGGCTGTGGGCTGTGGCTGCCTCCTATGGCCAGGGAGGTGACTTTTACAGGTGAGGAGAGATGGGAGGAGGCTCCTTTGTAGACCCCTCCAGTTCTGCACTCGGGCCTAATCTGATGACCCAGCCTTGCCCAAGGTGTCCAGCTCAGAGGGAGGCTGAAAATGAGGAGGGGATTCTGGGAGGAATGAAGAAAGTCTGGGGGCCAGGACTAGCCAGGGGGACAGTAGAACAAAGCTGAGGTAACCACATTCTGTGCACAACAGCCTTAGCAGCTTGCTGAAATCCGATTTAAATCCCCTGTTGGGAGGAAGCCTGGAAGGTCTCCCTCTTTCCCTTCAGCCCCCAGCCTTCCTTCCCTCTGAAGCCTTCTAAGAGTGCCCAGCCCTGGAGCCTCTCCCTCCTGAGCTTCTTTAACCAGCCTGCAGATCCCTGGGGCGGCGCCCTGCCTTGTGTCTTCTGTCTCCACGTCCAGGGTCTTCATACACTGAAAGACAGTAACTGTTCTCCCCCAGGGAGCTGTACCCAGTGCTGATGCGGGCCCTGCAGGCTGTGCCAGGGGAGCTCAGCACCCAGCCCCCTCGGCCCCTGTCGGTGCAGCGGATAGCCTCCTTCCTCACTCTCCTCGCCCAGCTGACCCTGGCCACCAGCAGCACCGCCCCTGAGCCCAGCAGGTGGGTTATAGCTCTAAGCTCCGGAACAGGCAGAAGCACTCCTCCGGATGGAGAGGGTGGGTAGAGCTTGTGGGGGCGTTGAGGCAGCCAGACCTTCACTGTGACCCCTTCTGGCACTCCTGTAGTGATGCTGCTGGGGCCGGTGTGTCGGCCACCCCTTCCTCGATCACCTGGACACAGGTGTCCGGGCTCCAGCCTCTTGTGGAGCCCTGTCTAAGACAGACCTTGAAGTTGCTGCCCAGACCTGAGATGTGGCGGGCCCTGAGCCCAGTGCCTACTGCCTGCCTGCTCTTCCTGGATGCATACTACCAGGCCTGGAGCCAGCAGGTGAATGTGGCCTGCCCGCCTTCCTCTGTGCCCTGGGTGCCTGCCTCCCTCTTCACACACCACCCTCTACCTCCCTCTCTGTTTCCACTTCTCCATCCCTACTTCCCCATTCCACTTTTTCCTACTCTCTGCCTTTTCCCTCCCACCTTTCTTCCTTTTTCTCCCTTCACATCCATTGGAGCTGCCAAGGAGCTGTGTTGGTGGGGACCAGAGACCCCCAAGCAGCAGCTCTGTCTCAGAGCCTTCATGCTCTGAGTACAGTGGGTGTCGGGGCAACCTCGGGGTCTTTTCTCTCTCCAGAGGGTCAGAAGGCGGAAGCCTCCAAACACTGACTCTTGGGCTCTTAGAGTAATAGGCTTGGCCTGGGGACCCAGGGTCTAGGAGAATGGGTGTCTTGGGCTGTCAGCTCAGTGAGCCCCTCGGTCCTCCAGCCAAGCCTGTGCCCAGGGGATTGGCTTCAGGATATGGAGCGCCTGTCAGAGAGCCTGCTGCTACCCCTGCTGCGCACACCCACTCTGGGCAGCCTGTGGGATTCTCTTGGGTATGTGCTCTGTGTGTGGGAGGGTGGGTGTGGTTGGGGGGTAGGGGTAGTAGGGAGGAGGCAGTTTCTCTCCCTCTGGGACTCCTAGGTCTAGCTCCCTCATCCATCCTGAGTAGAACCTCTCAGCCAGAGGAAACCTGAATCCCTAGCAGGCAGCACTTGAGGGCTCTGAGGAATGTGGGTACTGGTCTATGTAGCCAGGTTCCTGCTGGCCTTGGTCACAGACCAAGCAGCTCTTTTCCAGCCTGGCACATATCAGGCCGGAGCCCTCCTCAGCTTCTTCATTCTGCCTCCAGGAGCTGCTCCCCTCTCTGCAACCCGCAGTTCTGTGTTCGGGCCCCTGAAGCTCTCCCCAGCCTCGTGTCACTGGGCAGCACAGGAGGCCACCCCTCTCTCAGTCTGGCTGGCTCAGCCTCACCGTTCCCATTCCTCACTGCCCTTCTCTCTCTTTTCAACACCTTGGCCCGGATCCACAAGGGGCTATGTAACCAGGTGAGACCTAGGTGCCTGGTTAGGGGTCAGGCGGGGGTGGGGGGGCGTGGAGGGGCAAGATGGGAAGAGTCAGAGCAAAAGGTACCACTTGGGGAAGGGAGGTCTCTCCTGCCAGCCCCCATTTTTGTGACTTTCTCTGGGGAGGCAGCAGCCACCTGAGGAACCCCAGGAAAGATCAAAGTCAGCTTTAGATCTGAACAAGCTTGCTTTTCTTCAGCTGGCTGCCGTACTGGCTGCCCCAGGACTCCAGAACTACTTCCTCCAGTGTTTGGCTCCTGTGGCCGCCCCACCCCTCACACCCTTGTCTGCATGGGTCTTGCGCCACGAGTACCACCTGCAATACCTGGCACTCATCCTGGCCCAGAGAGCGGTGGGTACACCCCAGCCCCCCCACCTCTGTCCTTCTCCCCCCATTCCCCCCGCCAGTTTTTTGGAACCCATGCTACTTCTGGCAGTCCATGCACACCCTTCTTTGCTCTAGACATGCCCAGGATCTGTGCAGCTATCCTCTCTGCACGTAACCCCCCATCTCTCTGCTCTGTCCCCTCTCACACCGCCCCCCCTAACCCCCCACTTCTCTGCTCACAGGCAACAGTCCAGCCAGATCTGGCCATCAACGCTGCCCTCCATCATAGTATGGTCTTGGCCCTGCTGGGCCGACTGCTTCCTGGAAGTGAGCACCTTGCCCATGAGCTACTGCTGAGCTGTGTATTCCGTCTGGAGTTCCTCCCGTGAGTCCGGGGTTGGTGACATCAACTCAGCCCTTTGAGAGGCTGCTGTGGCTGTTGATGGAGCAGCCCTGAACTTGGAGCTGGGAGACCTGGGCTTAATCCGCTTTCTTCCATGAATCGTGCTTTACATTTCAGAGTTTCCATTTCTCCTCAGTAAAGCGGGGATGAAGATATCCACGCTAGAGAATTATGAGATTTTCGTGTGACCGTCAGGCTAAGAAGTGGCGTATGAATTAGCTGTACACACGGAACAGCTAACGGGGACCGAGTGCTTACTCTGTACCTGGCCGCTTCTTAAGTATTTCTGTTGTTTTTTCTCTGTACTGTGAGATTGTATTGTTATCCCCATTTTACTGTGAGGAAACTGAGGCACAGAGAAGCCTCATCAGCCTGCCCCTAAGCAGCAGACTGTGGGTCCCACCCTCCTGACTGCTACACACACTAGATAGAGAGTGATTAGGGAACACGGAGGAGCAGGATTGGACCTGGAACCTCTGGGAAGCCCTGGAGAGCTGGCATGGTGTTCAGAGCGCTGTGGTTCAAGCGCTCACTTTTGCCTTTTGGGTTCTGTTGCAGGGAAAGAGCATCAGGGGGTCCGGAGGCAGCCGACTTCTCTGACCGGCTGTCCTTAGGAAGCGGCAAGGACTCAGGGTGTGGGCGAGGGGCTCTGCTGGCTCAGGCCTGCCAGGACCTCCCCAGCATCCGCAGCTGCTACCTGACCCACTGCTCACTGGCCGGAGCCAGCCTGCTGGCCTCACAGGCCTTGTACCGAGGGGAGCTCCAGCGAGTCCCAGGCCTGCTGCTCCCCGTGCCCAAGGAGCCGCTGCTGCCCACCGACTGGCCTTTCCTGCCACTGATCCATCTCTACCACCAGGCCTCAGACGCTCCCTCGGGGCTCCCTCCTGCTGACACTGTGGGCACGGCTCTGCGGGCTCTGCAGTGGCTGCTAGTCCTGGAGAGCTGGCGCCCCCAGGCCCTCTGGGCCATGCCTCCTGCCGCCCGCCTGGCGCGACTCATGTGTGTGTTCCTGGTGGACAGTGAACTGTTCCGGGAGACCCCAGTACAACATCTGGTGGCCGCCCTCCTGGCCCGCCTCTGCCAGCCTAAGGTCCTGCCAGACCTCAAGCTGGATTGCCCACTTCCTGGCCTGGCGTCTTTCCCTGACCTCTATGCCAGCTTCCTGGAGCATTTTGAGGCTGTCTCTTATGGGAACCACCTCTTTGGAGCCCTGGTTCTCCTTCCCCTGCAGCGCCGTTTCAGCGTCACTCTGCGCCTCGCCCTCTTCGGGGAGCATGTGGGAGCCTTGCGAGCTCTGGGCCTGCCTCTGACCCAGGTACTTTCTCAGCCCAGCAGAGCCTGCCGTGGCCTTCCTGTACTGGGCCTGGGGGACAGTCCTGAGCAGTGGGGAGCTTTGGTGGGCTTCAGGTTCCTTACCTTACTTCTGGGGGATTTTGAGGAGACTAAGAGAATTCATGAAAAGAGTTTAACAGGGTATCTGGCATACAGTATGTATTGGTTATTATTAACAAGCCATAGCTCATTGCTCAGTGCTATAGTCTAGATAAGAGACGTAAAAACCAATATAGTTTTAAATTATTCACATTTTAGATGTTAGGCCAGGATTCAGGAAAGGGAAAGATCAAAGTGGGCTTCCCCTAAGGAGAAAGCTTTGGGGAAGAAGCAAGAGATTGATGTGGGCACTGAAGGTTGGGTAGAATTTGATGTTGAGGATGAAGGACAGAACGTCCCTAGTCGAACACCATCAGCAAAAGCTCAGAGGCAGGAAGGAATATAACAGGGTTGGAAGAGGGAGGAGCCAGATTTCAGTTTAGGAACTTATTGAAACAAGGCTAATAAAGTCTTAGAGGGCCTCAAAAATCAGGCTAAATGGTTTTAAACTTATATAAGCTGTAGAGAGTTAACTTTTTTTAAGGTTTGGTTTTTTATTTTCATTATAACTTATTCTGGTAAACTTAAATGTTTTAATAAATACATTTAACATGTATATAAAATAAGTTATATAAAGAACTAAAGAGAAAATGTAAAATATTTTTAAGAATTAAAAAGAACGGGTGCCTGGGTGGCTCAGATGGTTAAGCATCTGCCTTCAGCTCAGATCATGATCTCTGGGGCCTGGGATCAAGCCCCACATCGGGCTCCCTGCTTAGGAGGGAGTCTGCTTCTCCCTCTGCCCCTCCCACTGCTCGTGCTCTCTCTCTCTCTCTTAAATAAATAAATAAAATCTTTGAGAGAAAAAAAAGAATTAAAAAGAACATTATGGCCCAGTAGTAACTTTTGATTTTGATTTATCCTTTTTTAGTCTTTATATGTACGTATATATTTTTATAAAATTGGGATTCCTGCATAATGTTTTTTTCATTTAACATTACATAATAAGCATTTCCCAATCATTAAATATTCTAAGAAATCAACATTTTTTATTACATTATAATCCATTGTGTAGGTGCATCCTTTTATCAGAACCCCTTGGTGGGCATGACAGTTGTTTCTAATTTTCTGCTATTTGAAGTAACACTATGATAAACACCACTGGATATAAACTTTATCTTTTTCTCATAATCATTTCTTTTTTCTTTTTCTTTTCTTTTTTAAAGTAATCTTTGCATCCAATGTGGGGCTCGAACTCACAACCCTGAGATCAAGAGTTGCATGCTGTACCGACTAAGCCAGCCAGGTGCCCCTCTCAGTCATTTCTGCATGGAATTAAAAGTGATTTTTTTTTTAGAGAGTTAACTGGTCCAAAGAAAATGAACTTCTGAAAGGTTTCATAATATGATTGAGCAGTTGAATGTGACATTTTGAAAGTTTTAATTTTAAGCAGATTAAACAAGTAGTGGTAGGCAGTAGAAATTCACTACTACTTCCCAATTTCCCAGTTTCCTCTGCTTCCCAGCTCTTCAGTCTTTAACCTCAGTCCTTGTGATAGACAGGAATGGATGTCTGTCCAGGACCTTATCTCTGCCCTCACGGTTTGGCCAGGTGACCATCAAGCATCCACCCTGTTGTCCCGTGATACCGATTCCCACCCTCACCCTCAGCATGTCTCATTCCCCCTGTCACAGTTGCCTGTGTCCTTGGAGTGCTATACAGAGCCTCCTGAAGATAACCTGGCCCTCCTTCAGCTCTACTTCCGGGCCCTGGTTACGGGTGCTCTCTGTCCACGTTGGTGCCCTGTGCTCTATGCTGTGGCCGTGGCCCATGTCAACAGCTTCATCTTCTCCCAGGACCCCAAGAGCTCAGTAAGTTACATCCCCATCTGCAGAGGGAAGAAGAGAGACTGCAACTGAGCTGCCTCTGGGTCAGCTGGGCAAGAGAGGAGGGTCGGATAAGGCCGGTGATGGGTGTCAGCCCTTGGCCCTTGGCCCTTGGCCCAGTGCCATCTCTCCCTCCCTGTTCTGCCTCTAGGATGAGGTAAAGGCTGCCCGCAGGAGCATGCTGCAGAAAACTTGGCTGCTGGCAGATGAGGTAGGATGGGGCACATCCCAGAGGGGAGTAAAATAGTAGGTGTTGGGGGGCAGAGATCTCAACAGGATCTCAGTACCTACTTCATAAAGTTTCTTCCCTTTTTGCAGGGTCTCCGGCAGCACCTTCTCCACTATAAGCTCCCTAATTCTGCCCTCCCAGAAGGCTTTGAGCTATATCCCCAGTTGCCCCCTCTGCGTCAGCAGTACCTCCAGAGCGTGACCTCAGGGATGCTCCAGAATGGGGTGTCAGAGGCCTAGTAGAGTTGCTACAGATGAAGACATGGATCCATTCTGCTGGGGTTCACCAGCACGTGCCTGGCCAGACAAAAGGATTTTGTGTACTAAGGGTGCACAGGAGACAGGAGCAGAAGGCTTGCCTTCCTGGGAACAGGCCGTTTGAGCTTTTCTGGAGCAGGGTGAGCCCTACCATTATGTCCTGATGTCTGAAGCTCAGTTTCTGAGAGTCTGTACTGGGAGTGAAGGGTAATTTAACTTACTCCTCTTTTGGGGCCAAGACAAAATATGGACATCTCTCCTTCCCCTGCCCCAGACCAAGATATATGAATGCTATAGATGTGTACTGAAATAAACAATTTTTTTATCTCCTAGGAATCTGATTTGGACTGATTTCAGACATGGTACTTCAGGATTGGTAATGGAGGGATGGATTATCCCAGGGGAGAAGCAGGACTTCTGTGAGAGATGGGGGAAGTAAAAACTAAGTCCACGGGCGCCTGGGTGGCTCAGATGGTTAAGCGTCTGCCTTCGGCTCAGGTCATGATCCCGGGGTCCTGGGATCGAGCCCCGCATTGGGCTCCCTGCTAGGCGGGGAGCCTGCTTCTCCCTCTGCCTCTGCCTCTCTCTCTCTCTCTCTGACTCTCATGAATAAATAAATAAAACATTAAAAAAAACAAAACAAAAAACTAAGTCCACACCTGGGACAACGAAAATGTGGGTCCCAGTTCTGGAGTAGAGCCAGGCCAGGGTAATGCTCTTGGGAAGGGGTCCTTCTTAAAGGACTCTCAGCAGTCCACTTGGAGTTTAAGTATCCTTAGTGAGGTCAGCGTCTTGTCTCCTTACGGTCCATCAACTGCTATCCTGAGATATGAAGAAACCAAAAGCCAAACTGTGCAGTAGCTGTCTGTCTTAATCTTTTTTTTTAACTTTTTTTTTTTTTTAAGATTTTATTTATTTACTTGACAGAGAGATAGTGAGAGAGGGAACACAAGCAGGGGGAGTGGGAGAGGGAGAAGCAGGCTTCCCGCCGAGCAGGGAGCCTGATGCGGGGCTCGATCCCAGGACCTGGAATCATGACCTGAGCGGAAGGCAGAAGCTTAACGACTGAGCCACCCAGGCGCCCCTGTCTGTCTTAATCTGTTTGGGCTGCTGTAACAGGATACCATAGACTGAGTGGCTTATAAACAACAGAAATTTATTTCTAACAATTCTGGAGGCTGGGAAGTCCAAGATCAAGGTGCTGACACAGTTGGTCTCCAGTGAGGACCCACTTCCTGGTTTGTGGACAGCCCTCACATGGTGGAAGGGACATGGGAGCCCTCTGGGTCTTCTTTATAAAGACACTAACCCCCATTCCACCCATGAGGGTGGAGCCTTCATGACCTAATCACTTTCCAGAAGCCTTGCCTCCAAATACCCTCACATTGGGTATTAGAGTTCAACATATGAACTGGCAGGGGTGGGAGGGGGGAGTGGACACAAACATTCAGTCTATAGTGCTGTCCTACAACTCTCCCTCCATTGTGGACTTTAGTGGTGGTAGATAAGGGCTGGGAAGGAGTGGATCAAACCATGAACTCCGGTTCATTGGTTCATCTCTTTTGGTAGAGTTTTTCAGTTCTTTGTTTAAATTCTAACACTTGGGGCGCCTGGGTGGCTCAGTCGTTGGGCGTCTGCCTTCAGCTCAGGTCATGATCCCAGGGTCCTGGGATCGAGCCCCGCATCGGGCTCCCCGCTCGGCAGGAGGGCTGCTTCTCCCTCTCCACTCCCCCTGCTTGTGTTCCCTCTCTCGCTGTGTCTCTCTCTGTCAAATAAATAAAAATCTTTAAATTCTAACACTTAAGCTTTCTTACAGTGTCATTTTCTGTGTGGGATTCGCTGTGTTCACAGGTCATCAGAGTGAGTGCAGTGTGCCCTGTCAGTAGGTAGAGAGAATCCACTTCCCATAAACAGAGCCGCTGGACACCGAATTACACAGTAGGTTTTATAAGCAACCACTGCATCTGCAAACAGCATACTCCCCAAACTCGTGACAGAAATCTGCACGAAATCATCTGCAGAGTGTGTTAAAACAAACTGCTAGGCCCTTCACCAGTGTTTCTGATTCAGGGGATCTAGGGTGAAACCCAAGAATTTGCATCTCTAACAGATTTTCAGGGGGTGCTGATGCCGCTATCCAAGCCCAAACACTTTGAGAACCACTGGCTTAGTGGAACCTTACCAAGTAAATTCTGTGACCTCACAGTGGGATACCTCCAGAGTTCAATAGAGCATGGGTCCTAGAGTGTTTACAAAATCACTGTAGTATCTTTATTTAGCACTATATTCTCAGAGACAACCAAGTCGCTAACTACTATCACTTCTTTTTTTCCAGAGCTTTATATTAAACATAGGCCTTAGCCTTTAAAATTAGTGTTTTGGAGGGGCGCCTCAGTGGCTCAGTTGGTTAAGTGCCTGTGTTCGGCTCAGGTCATGATCCCAGGGTCCTGGGATTGAGCCCTGCAGCTCTCTTGGGCTCCTTGCTCAGCAGGGAGTCTACTTCTCCCTCTCCCTCTGCCCCTCTTCCCGGCTTGTGTTCTCTCTCTCTAAATAAATAAATAAGATCTTTTTTTTAAAAAAAGAGCACTTCCCATATGTTATTACATACACCCACATCCTACCACCAATGAAGCACTCACCCCACTGCTCCTGATGTGAGAGAGCTAGAAAGACCTAGAAGCCTGGGCAGGGTGTCTGGGGTGTGGCTTGCCACTTTTTCCACACTCCTGCCTCAAAGCGGGGGGCACTTTCTCCCCTACCTTGGGATCCAGACAGCCCTTGGAGGGGTGCTCGCAAAGATCTTCCAGGAAGCTTGGGGACCTTGCTGCCCACATGCCCCACCCCTCCCTCCTTCAGCATCCTGGGGTCTGAGGTGGGAGTGGCCAGGCTGGCTTTAGGACCGGCAGTGTCTAGCAAGCAGTTGGACTCTGCTATAAGGGGCAGGCCGGCCAAGGTGACAAGGTCTGAGGCCACAGCCCTAGCTGTGGCAGGCTGAACAAGCCAGGGACTGCTCAGGCTGGCTGCTGCTGTGGCTTAGAGCAATGGGCGAGTACCTCAGTCAAGGAACCATCTGGCTAGAGGCATCTTCCTAGGCTCGGGAACAGCAGTTGAGACAGACTGGGTCCTAGTGGCCCCCCCAGAGGCCTGGAACCCTCAAGGCCAATGCTTCCAGGTCAGTGTTCCTGGTGAGTGGGCCCAGAAGCACAGTGCGGGCCTGAATTCAAGGTACCCCACCACGCAGCTTGGGAAGGAGGGACAGGCTCTGGGGTCTCAGCACCGCTGGGGGTGACACTACCTAGCTAGGTCGAGGAAAGGATGGGGGGCCTGCAGGACCGAATTCAGTGCAGCCCCCAGGTCATTCACTGGGAAGGACTCCCCAGGGGAGAAACTTGCAGAGGTATCAGCGGGCACCCCGAGGGGCTTCAGTGACTGGAGTCGGTCAGGGCTGGCTTCCGGGTGCTGGTGGGGTTAGGTGGGGCTAGGTGGGGTTAGGACCACGACCGCAAGGGGCAAGGGCCAGCTGTTGAGAGGTTATCTCTTTATCTCGTCCCCCATTAACCTCCTGCCACCTCTCCCAAACCCGCTGTCTTGTTGTCACCTTTCAGGAGCCATTCTCCACTCCAGCTTGGGGTCCCAGGCACATTTTCTGCCATCCTCACCCCGTCGCTGCTAGCTCCTAGCCCCCAAGATGTGAACGTCACTGGCCCATTTAGTGGCTTAGAGCCAGCTTCTCCCCTAATTCCCCCAGGTCAGCTCCAGGCTCTTCCTCCCTTCTCTGCACACCTTACCAGGCCAGGGCAGATGCTCTATGACCCTTTCCTCCCTCCCTGCTCCAAGGCACTGAAGGGCCTTGGCTGTTCTCCTGTGGGGCCAGCAGCCGGCAAGGGCCCACATAAACACAGTGTAACAAGGCACACACCGGCAGCAGCGTGGTGGTGACAGTGGGGGCCTCTGAGCCTCTGAAAGGCATGCAGCTGTGTCAGGCTCCAGCCACCAGCAAGTATCTGTAAGTGTGAAGCAGGGAGAGGTGGGTGGTGACCCATGTGTCTGAGGTTCTAAAGTCAGGGGATCCAAGGCCTCGGGCACACTACGTTGTCGTAGGGTATTCCACAACCCTGTGTGGCCCTAGCAACTTTGTCCCTTCTTCCAGCGGAACCAGGGAAGGTGGCAATGGTCGCCACTGAATTATCCAATACCTAGGAGCCTGTTCCCTGCAAATGGAGAGCCCTTAACCAGCGGTGGCGCCAAGCGGTGGCTTGAGCCCCTCCCCCCCATTAAGCCTCCTAAAATAAGTGTAAAATCGAATTTTCTGGTGTGCGGACCTAGTCTTCCCATCTTTCCTAAATCGACAGCCTCTTAAGTCCCTCAGATAACAAATTCTGGAGCGGCTTTTGTCACTAACCTCTGCCGCAGGCGGGCAGCCCGAGGACCGAAGAGCGAGGGCCAGCGACTCAGCGTCCTCTTCCTGCAGGATCTCAGCTTACGGAGCTGCGGGGGGCAAAGGTGCCAAGAACCACCTGTCGCGGGCGCACGGCGTCTTCGTCTCCGCGGTCTTCTCCCTTGGTCGCGGGGAGCCGCTTCACATCCTAGTGGGGCAGCAGGGGGAGGACGCCTGTCCCGGAGTAAGCGGAGGCGGCGGGAAGGGGCGGCTCGAGCTCCTCAGGGCTAGGGCCGAGCGGAGCGAGGGGCGCTCCTCCGGGACGAGACGGCGGCGCTGCGAGGGGAGCGATCCGGGCCCCGCCGGATCTGGCGCCCGCCGCCCGCAGGCGAGCCCGGAGAGCCAGCTCGTCTGCCTCGGAGAGTCTCGGGCCGCTGCGGAGGACGCGGCGACGGAGGGGGCCGCAGGGGTCTCGGGGTCGCGGGGCGGGAGGCGGCGGGGGCGCCACCTATGTCTTTCCGGCACGTGCTTGCCTCGGCGCGGTCGGCTCCCGCCCCCAGCAGTTCGCGTTGGGGTCCCAAACGTCTTGCTGCGGGCGCGCACACACAAGCTCTTCGTACGGGCCTTGGGGTCTCCAGTCCCTGGGCCCGGCCCGGCCCCTTACTCCAGTGCCTGGTGCCCGGTCCTCACTCGACGGCCAGACGGCACGCCGCTGGCCCCGGAGCTGCGCGCCGGCGAGCTGGAGCCACGGCGGGTGGCGGCCGGAGGAGGCGGGCGGGCCTACTGAGGCGGCGGGACCGAGGCCGGCTTCAGGCCGCCCCTGAGAAACTGGAGAACCGCTCGGCGGCGGCCGGGAGCCGCGGGAGAGGCGGCGCGGCAGGTGAGGGCGCGGGGCGGCGGGGAGAGGCGGGCGTGCTCCCCATCCCCGCTGACAGTCATCCGGCTGTCGCCCCGCAGGTGGGGAGGCGGCTGGACGTCGCGGGCCCCCTCTCCGCGGGCGGGCCGCTCCCTACGGGAGGGGGCGGAGGGCGGCCGGGGCTGCGCAGAGGCCTGAGCTACGCTCGGCTGGGCCGCAGCCGGCGGCGTCGGGGGCGGCGGCGGGGCCTGTACTGCGGGTGGAGGCGGAGCGGCTACTGGGGAAGGGGCACTCTCGAGGAGGGCAGCGCGGCAGCTCCCAGGGTGAAGTGGCGTTGGAACCTTACAACAGGCCCTCTGGAGGATAGATGGGGAAGGGGTTGAGCACCCCCTCCGGGCCCCAGAGCAAGTAGAGTAAGAGCTCTTAGAAAAGAGATTAAGTAGGGACACCTGGGTGGCTCAGTCGGTTAAGAGTCTGACTCGGTTTCAGCTCAGGTCCTGATCTCAGGATCAGAAGACGGAGCACCGCCTAGGGTTCCACGCTCAGTGTGGAGTCTGCTTAAGATTCTCTCTCTCCTTTTGTCCCTCCCCCACGCGTGCGCAAGCTCTCTCTCTTGCTGTCTCTCATAAATCTGGGGCGCCTGGGTGGCTCAGTCTTTAAGCATCTGCCTTCAGCTCAGGTCATGATCACGGGATCCTGGGATCCAGCCCCGCATCGGGCTCCCTGCTCGGCGGGAAGCCTGCTTCTCCCTCTCCCACTTCCCCTGCTTGTGTTCCCTCTCTCACTGTGTCTCTGTCAAATAAATAAATAAAATCTTAAAAAAAAAAAGAGATCAAGTAAGTTGCAAATCACACAAGCAGACAGAATTCCCTAGATTTTCTTTAAATCCAGGACCTTTTTTTGTTTGTTTGTTTGTTTTTAAGTCACAACAGGTCTCCTTGTTTTACAGCAGTCCCAGGAACTTAGAGCTGGCTGAGTTAGCAAACTGAGCAGAGAGGCAGAAAGGCCGGGATAATTTATTATCATTATTTTATATATATATTCTCAGAGAGAGAGAAAATCTTAAGCAGGCTCCATGCCCAGCGCAGAGTGTTTGGTGAGGCTCACCTACAGGCTCCACCTGGGTCTCCATCCCAGGACCCTGAGATCATGACCTGAGCCGAGATCAAGAGTCTGACACCCAACTGACTGAGCCAATCAGGGGCCCCAGGCAGGGATAATTTAAATTAGTAGTTCTCCAAGTGTGGTTTCTGAACCATAGCATTAGCACCACCTGAGAAGTTGTTAGAAATGCAAATTCCCAGCCCCTCTCCAACCTACTGAATCAGAAACTCTAGGGAAGTCTCCTAGCCATCTGTGTTTTGATCAATCCTCTGGGTGATTTTAATACACTCCAGAGTTTGGAAATCACTGGTGTAAAGAGACAGAGCCTTTGGGTCTGTCTGAGCTATCCTGTTCATAAGTACTTTATACACATCTTCTCCATTCTCACAAAAATGCAACATGTGGATTGGGCCTCTCCCATTTTATAGCTGAGGACATGAAGTCAGAGGATTTCAGGCAGACAAGGAGGTTGTCCCGGCCAGCCTGAGCCAGGCCTTCAGGCTCCAGCTGATGACTCCCACCCCACCCATATGGCTCCCGGCTCCCACTTATGAGCTGGCAGCACCTGTATTGTAATGCTAGTGTAGGGAGGGTGACTCTGGGATTTGCACTGGGAGAGAACAGCTTCCCCACTATTGATAAGCCAGCTTCCCATTTGTGTGCCCCTTCCTCCCCCCATTTTGTAGCCAAACCCTCTATCACTTTCAATTTCCAGGGGGTGATGCCTCAGAGAATGATATCCTCTGAGTTGACGGGGAAGATGAGGTATCCTTCATACACCCTAGTGGTGAGCCCTACCTGCAACCTCTGGCAGGTATTGGCCCCTACCCCCACCCCATCTCTCAGCCTGGCCTAGCCTTATTCCTCAATCCCTGAGCCCACTCCCATTTGAGCTACCAACTCTGTGCTGTGAACTATCTGGTTCTTGCATGGCACAGGAATACTCAAGAACTGGGCTGTCAGTTGTGATGTCGGTATGGGGCATTCTGGGGCACTTGTCACACGTCTCCTACTATGAATTCTCAGCTCAATCTGCGAGCTCAAGGATCCCAGAAGAGGAAGTATACAGGCTTGACAGAAGTCCTCCAGGCCCTCCCGCCCACCGCCAAATGCCTGGTACTGCTCATTGTTCCAAAGTCCAGGGCTAGAATTAACCACGTAGCTGGAAAAGTATGTCTGTCCCCCACCCTCACCCTGCGATATCCATTCTTTTACTCATAGTCATGGAGAGCCATGGAGAAGTGGAGATCCGACTGCACCTCAACTGTAGTCATTGCCTTTGGAAAGACTGCCAATGTCAGGCAGAGCTCTGGTTAGCCAAATGCCCCAGAGGGCATGGAGCCAGCTGCAGATAACATCACTTGCGTGGGTAAGTCCTGCCTTTGTCCAAGGTCTGGACTCCTGGGGCCATGGGCTGGGAGGAGCAGGAGGTACTGGGAAAGATGACTGGTGGTGTGCCAGGCACCATTCCGGGTGTTGGGCAGGAGATTGGATATGCATCAGTGTATGCTCTGCCTTCAAGGAGCATGTAGACTAGTGGTCTAGTATAGAAAGGGTGATCTATCTATCTACCTATTTATCTATCTAGATATGTATCTAGATTTATTTTTTTAAAGATTTTATCTATTTATTTGAGAGGGAGAGAACGCGTGAGAGAGAGCATGAGCAGGGGCAAGGGGCAAAGGGAGAGGGACAAGCAGACTCCCCGCTGAGTAGGGAGCCCGATGTGGGACTCTATCCCAGGACCCTGGGATCATGACCTGAGCCGAAGGCAGATGCTTAACCAGCTGAGCCACCCAGGCACCCAGATATGTATCTAGATTTAGATATAGATATCTATTAAAGTGACAATTGCCATGGGAGGCTTAAAGTGTTTTAGGGGTTCTCAGGAGGGAAAGGTTGCTTTTATCTAGGACAAGTATCAGGGAGAAGTTAGTACTTGGGCTGAGTCTTGAGGCATGGGTAAAATTTGAGGAGGGGGACAGAGAGGAGCTTCCCACTGGAGGTGTCTCTATGTCTCCCTAGATTTGCCCACCCACCAGGCCCCTCTGGTTCTGTTGGTGACTGTCGTGTGACCTCTACACTGAGTCTCCTTATGGTGTGTGGGGTCCTGATTCTGGGTAAGGAACATCCAGCAGGCATGGCTGATTCAAGGCTGCCCACCTCTTCACTGAGCTGTGTGTGGGGTCCCAGGGACAGACGTGGCTGATTTCAAGACCTCTGCTTCCAGCAGAGCAGTGATGGGCTCCTCTGGGATTCTAAGAGTAGAAGCAACTGTGGAGGCCCAGGGAAGACGTTTGCCTTAATGGGTATCTGGAGAGATGTCCTGGGCGGAGGGGTGGCAAAGCAGGGTGGGCCAGATGGGCACGTAGAGAGTTTGCCCTTCTTCCTCAGTGAACCATAAGAAGTGGCAGGGCCTGTGGGGGACAAGGCTGCCAGGCCCTGAGCTTGAGCTGAGCAATCTTCGAACCTCCACCATCAAGACAGCCCTCAACCCTTACTACTGCCAGGTGGGGTTTGGCTGGGCCTGGCACTGATCTCTGCCCCCAGGGCTTACAGAAGTTTCCCCAGCCAATGTCACCCTGCTTAAGTAAGTTCTCCCCCTCCGCTGAGAACCTATGCACTCTGAATTCCTCTCACTCCCATCCCGTGCCCTGCTGTGGTGAATTATGGTTCACAGAGAGCATCTGGCCCCAAGCCTCTGTGTGGAGGAGATAGAGGTCAGAGAAGTTCCAAAAGGCAGAGTAACTTGTCCAAGGTCAGCCGTCATCCCCAATTCTAGGATGGTGGGGACCCTATGATTCCTTTGGAGCAAGGGTTGCCTCTACCCAGGGTGTCTGCAAGGACGTAAGGAAAACCTCGTCACAGACTCCCGCCCCCACCCTGAGCCCATACCTCCTCTCTCTTCTGCCCTGATTCTGTGCCTGTCAACATTGCCTCTGTAGGGCTTGTACTTGGGGAGATGCTATGATGCAGGAAGACCTGAGTCCTCAGATAGGGCCGCCTGGGCATATAGGGGATGGCAAGGAGGTAAAAAGGAGGCACTAGACCCTCTAGGACCCTTCCCCAGGTCCAGCCACCCATTCCCTTCCAGCCTGTCTTCCTGCAGAGCCCTGTGCCATGGTGCCTTTGGAGAAGTCTATGAGGGACTGGTAAATGGCCTTCCTGGGGACCCCGGCCCCCTGCAGGTGGCTGTCAAAGTGAGAGGGGTGGAACTTCTGGAACAGTTGCTGGAGCTAGAGTCAACCCACTCTCCTGAAGTGTTTGGGGGAGCTCAGGAGCCCTCTCCCTCCCCAGACCCTGCCAGAACTGCTCTCCTCTGGATGAGCTGGATTTCCTCATGGAGGCACTCATCATCAGGTGCACCTGGGGCTAGGGGCAGGGGTGGAAGGTGAAAGCAGAATTGCCTGCCTGGATGGTTTCTCTTCACCCTGGGGCTGAGAGGTAGCAGGCCTAGGGAAACAGAGCCTGTCTCCAGTTTTGTGGAACCTCGAGCTTGGTTTCCCTCCCTGCTGGCGACTGGGGTATGTGCACCTCCCACTAAGCAAGTTCAGCCATCAGAACATTGTGCACTGTGTGGGGCTCAGCCTCTGGACTGTCCCTCACCTAATTCTGCTCGAGTTGATGTCTGCAGAGGACATGAAGAGTTTCCTGAGGAACAGCCAGCCACGCTTGGTAAGACCCTTCTCCCAGCCCTCTGAGCCCATCTAAGGACCCTGTCCGGGGCACCTGGGTGGCTCAGTTGGTTAAACGTCTGCCCTGGGCTTGGGTCATGATCCCAGGATCCTGGGATGGAGCCCTGCATTGGGCTCCCTGCTCAGCAGTGAGTCCGCTTCTCCCTCTGCCCACCACCCCGCCCTCCCCTGCCTGTGCTCTCTTTCTCTCAAATAAATAAAATCTCTTAAAAAATAAAAGTAAAAACATAAAGACCCTGTCCATGTGTCCCAAAACAAGCATGGACTAATGTACCCTCTGCCCTACCCAGGGCCAGCCATCACTTCTGGCCATGCGGGACCTGCTCCAGCTGGCCCAAGACATAGCCCAGGGCTGCCACTACCTGGAGGAAAATCACTTCATCCACAGGTTGGGAGTGATCCTGGCTCGGAGGGGGTGGGGGAGCAGCCCAACTCTCTCCCCAAGGAACAGCTCTTCGATAACTTTTATGGAAACGGATCAGAGCCAGAGCTTCTGAGTTCTGGTGGGGATTTTTTGCCTGCAGGGACATTGCTGCCAGGAACTGCCTGCTGAGCTGTACTGGGCCCAGCTGAGTGGCCAAGATTGGGGACTTTGGGATGGCCAGAGATATCTATAGGTGTGGGGTCTGGGGAGGTGGGGAGGCTACCGCTCCAGGGGAGTTTACCAGCACTCTGGTGGCGCTTGAGCAACTAACTCATCACGCCCCTCCTCCCTCCTATAGAGCCAGCTGTTACCGCCAGGGGGCCGGGCTCTGCTGCTGGTCAAGTGGATGCCCCCAGAGGCCTTCTTGGAGGGCATCTTCACATTCAAGACAGACTCCTGGTGATAACACACATACCCCCCCCCCCCGGCCTTGGGCCACCTCATGTGAGGCAAAAGGGAGGCCGTGCCTGATAAGCTTCATTCAGTTTCCCCCACCCGTGATGCAGGTCTTTTGGGGTGCTGCTCTGGGAGATCTTCTCATTAGGATACATGCCCTACCCTGGGGGCACCAACCAGGACGTGCTGTACTTCGTCGTGGAGGGAGATGGATGGGTCCTCCCAGGGGCTGTCCAGGGCCTGTGTGAGTATGGAGTGTTGTCCAGGGAAGAAGGTCCTTCACAGCTATGGGTGGGACGAACTCCTGCCTCTCCCCAGGTACCATATCATGACCCAGTGTTGGCAGCATCCGCCTGAACTCTGCCCCAGTTTTGCTGCCATCTTGGAGCATCTTCGATACTGAATTCAGGTGTGCCCCCTCTCTTGCCTTGACCATCTTGATCTTGAGGGTCAGGAGGGCAGCCGTGGAACAATGCTGTGGCTCTCCTGCCCCCCGCATTACAGGACGCTGATGTGAATTCACCCCTGCCAATGGAGCTGGGGCCCACCCTAGAGCAGGAAGGGACTTCTGGGCTGGGGAGCAGGCCTTTGGAGGGCCTAAGATCCCCAGAGGCCCAGGAACTGAATCTGGAGAGCTTAAAGAGCTGGGGAGGGAGCATCCTTGGCCCGTGGCTGCCCTCTAGCCTCAAGACCCCCAAATCCAAGTACTTCCAACCTCAGGGGGGATTCCAAAGGCATCCAAAGGAATCCCCCCTACGGCTCTTGGGCCCCAAGGGGCACTGAAGGTGAGGACTCAGGCACTGACAGTCGCAGTGGTTCCTCCCTGCACTCCTCCCCAGGCTTCTAGGGAGCTTGTTATTCCAGGAGCCTCTGTCCCCTGCAGTCTGTGCTGCATGTCTGCGCCTGTCTCAGGGGTGGCCTGGCACCACTGGACCCTCCATCCTGGAAACCAGCTCAGGCTTTCTGGTGAAGAGCCTGGCCTCTCCCAGCCTTTTGTCTTTGGGACGAGAGGTTGAAATTGCCTCCTGCAGGAAGCCTTCTCTGGATTACCCTTCCCCCATGAGTGTCCTTCATCTGGGCAGTCCCCAGTCCTACAGATGCCTCTAATAAAGAGCTCTTCTCATACCCTCCAGTGATCTGAGTGGACATGAGGGATGCCAGGGAAGTGAGAAAGGGACCAGAGGAGGGAGGGGACGAGGCCTGAGTCACCAAAGCTGGTGTTTTTGAGTTTTATTGGGAAAGGCTGTCCATTGTAGTGTGGGAAGTTAGACCAATAGATCTAGTGCCTGCAAAATAAAATTCATTATCTGGCCTCTCGAGAGAGATATGCAGCCCCCTCAGAAGAGCTGGGCTGAGGAAGGAGCCCATTGTCCCAGCCACCCCTCCCCCACCCCCTTCTGTTAATTAGTGCCATCGGTTCTGGGAACTCTGGGTCTTGTATGGGGGACAGCCCCCAGCGCGTGCAGTGCGTCCCATAGTGGTTGGCACCTGGCCCTGCAGAACCGTGTGAACCGCCCCGCAGCGCGGGGTTTCAGTCTCTCTCCGGCATGCATGGCGGGGACGCAGCCGCAGATCCATCTGTTAGAACTGGGGCCCAGCCTCATCTCTCTGCCAGGCTGGCCAGGATGCTAATGAGATTGTCCAGCCCCAGCAAATAGCCGTCCTCGCGGTTGCCCTCCTCCCAGGGCCGCCGGTGGTCCAGGGTCTGGCCGTCGGGGAGGGGCGTGGTCTTGCCGAAGTCGATGAGCCACACACCCGCGCGATGGCAGTGATCGTGCACGAAGAGTAGCGAGCTGCCAATCACCTGCCGAGCCCCACACGGTCAGGCCGCAGCCCTTTCCTGGAGAAGCCCCCCATCCTATTCCTGCTGTAGCCCTCACAGACCACAGTCCTGGCACGTGAGCCTACCCCCTCTTACCTCGTGCCTCCTAAAGAACTCAGAGACCTCCAGCGTGTCCCGGATCTGCTGCAGGCGGTTCAGATACCTCCTCTGGAGAGGGCAGGATAGGATAGGAGGGCAGATTAACCAAATACTAATTGAGCCTCTGCTAATATCAGAGGCCATGATGCATGCTTGGCTTGGCAGATACCGTGGGGAGGAAGACACAGGCCCCCAGGTGCCTACATGCTACGATGGGGGTCACAGGCGAGGGCACCAGGCCGGACGACCTAGGGGCATCCCTCGGTTTCAGGTTCCCCAACCCCTCAGGGTTCTAGGATCCGGCGCTCACCAGCACTTCCGCATCCCCTTGCACAAACTCCTTGAAGACGCGAATCACCTGCTCCCGGCTTCGCGTGGTCTTAAAGTCGGTGCTGCAGGAGCCGTCAGCTTTCTGAAGGAAGTGGGACAGGAAGTGTCAGGGTCGCCGTGTCTCTCCACTGCTCGAGGGGAGAGGATCAGGCTAGAGTAGCGGTGCCTTCCAGGACGTTGGCTGCCAGGGACGGCGGGAAGGCCGCCGGAGGGTGCCTCGTGGTGGGGGTCAACAAGGAAGGCAGACACCGCGCAGTGGGGTTAGGGCAGAGGGAGGGCCAGGGCGCTGCAAAGCTTAGCGGGCCTGGCCCACCTTGATGCCTTCGATGCGGAAGCCGAGCGTGGTGCTGGAGCTGATGCCTTCTCGCCACTGCATGTAGCGCGGCTTGGTGACGGCGCGCTGCGCGTGCTCCTCCTCGGTAGGCGCCGCAGGGTCTACCGCCAGCATCTTCTTGTACATGTCCTTCCGCAGCTTGGGCCGCTCGCGGGCTTTGGTCAGCTCCTCCTCCAGGTAAGTCCTGCGGACGCGCAGGCAGCGGTGGGGGCGTAAGAGAGCGCACGCCCGGACCCGGTCACGCGCGGCTTTAGGCACCCGGGAGAGCGCTCATCCCCGCCCTGTGCCCCCGCCCGGACGGGCAGGGCACGTGTACCTGACGCCCATCTTGCAGTCTAGGACGCAGGGCCCATCGAAGCCGTCGAGCAGGTCCTGCAACTGCAAGTAGCTCTCGCCATCGCGCTCCACCACGCCGTGGAAGGCGGGCACGCAGCCGCGCAGCGCGTCCGCCATGAGCCGCGCCAGGCAGTAGCGCTCCGGCTCCGAGCTGCGCTTCAGGATCAGCCCGCTGGTGCCAGCCGCCTTGAAACTCCCTGCGGACTGGCACCAGTTAGCGCTGCCTGGTCCCTTCCTTCCCCGAGCACCCGCCCACCCCAGCGGCGCCTGCCCTGTGCTCACCCGTGTGCCCAGCCAACTGCACCCAGGCGTAGCGCTTCTTGAAAGGGCTCATGACGGGCAGATTCACCATGGTCCGGATCTTCTGCCAGTGGCTTTTCTGAAAGCGACAGGTCCCGGGCGCGCACGTTGGCGTCTCGGCAATGCATAAGCCCTCCCTCCTTTGGCATAGGGTCTCCTCCGGCCCCAGCCCACCGCAAGCAGCTAGGGCCCCGCGATTCATTCACTCACTAACTCACTCAAGGAAAGTTTATTGTGAGCCTGTGTGGAGGACACTGAGACAGGTACAGCGTGATGACAGATATCCAGCTTCTCCATCGTGCTGAAAAGAGCCCTGGACTTAGTGTCAGAAGGCTCAGGTTTGCACCCCAGTTCTGCTGCTCCAGCTGTGTGGGTAGGTTACTAAAGTGTTCCGTCAAGGATTTAGAACTTTCCTGAGCATGAGAATCACCTGATGGTCACCCATGTTAAAAAAAAATGCAGACAGGGGGCTCCTGGGTGGCTCAGTTGTTAGGCATCTGCCTTTGGCTCAGATAATGACCCCAGGGTCCTGGGATCGAGCCCCACATCAGGCTCCCTGCTCCGCGGGAAGCCTGCTTCTCCCTCTCCCACTCCCCCTGCTTGTGTTCCCTCTCTCGCTGTGTCTCTCTCTGTCAAATAAATAAATAAAATCTTTTAAAAAAAAATGTACTCAGGTCTGCCTCAAGGAAATTCTGAGTAGGTCTGGGTGGAATAAAAAATTTGCATTTCTAACAATGCCTCAGGAGATTCCAGGGGCCTGAGAAACAAGCCTCTGTCAGTTTCTTCATCTGTAAAATGGGGAAATAATCGTTCTCACTGGGTTGTTATGAGTAGTAAATGAGGTTTGAGTGTGACAGGCTCCAGCCCCTGTGCCTACCTCCCCACCCTGGGACCCCATTCCTTGGCATGAAGCAGAAGCTGGACAAATCTGGATTATTGTTTCATTCACTTTGGACCATTGGTTACTCTCATTTAGGGAGACAAACATGGAAACAAACCTTTGCAAAGGCCCAGGGCTGAGAGGCTAGCCTGGCAGGGCCTGGGAAAAGAATGACTTGGGCCTCCCCAAGACCCCCTTGCTATTCCTGGATGCCATATCACTCCTCGCCAGTTGGCTAGGGCCAGGCTACCCTTGGTCTTCTTACTCTAGACCCAGAAACCTGAGCTTTGAAAATGGGATGCAGGGTGCCTAGGTGGCTCAGATGGTTAAGCGTCTGCCTTCGGCTCAGGTCATGATCCCAAGGTCCTGGGATTGAGTCCCGCATCGGGCTCCCTGCTCCTTGGGAGCCTGCTTCTCCCTCTGCCTCTCTCTCTCTCTGTCTCTTATGAATAAATAAATAAACTCTTAAAAAAAAAAAAAAAGGAAAATGGGATGCAGAGGGGCACCTGAGTGGCTCAGTGGTTAAGCGTCTGCCTTCGGCTCAGGTCGTGGTTCCAGGGTCCTGGGATCGAGCCCCCCATCGGGCTCCCTGCTCAGTGGGAGGCCTGCTTCTCCCTCTCCCACCCCCCCCTGCTTGTGTTCCCTCTCTCACCGTGTCTCTCTCTGTCAAATAAATAAAATCTTTAAAAAAAAAAACAAAAGAAAATGGGATGCAGAGCTGAGAGCCTGTCATCTCAGATGAAACTGGGAGGGAAATGTAGATCTTGGTGTACCTCTTGCTTCACAAACATTCCTTCTGGCCTCCACCCAATCCTGAGAGCATCTCATACTCTGGACCTTTCCTTTTCCCACCCAAAACTCATCAGTCCTGTGCCAACCTCTGAAGTACACAGGTTTGCTCATCCAAGCTGTGTATCTGCTGCCTCCTCCCAAGCGTGCTTGCCTATGAGGAGTTACGTATGCGTTGCAGGAGTTCCAGGGCTAGAACTCAACTTAGAAATCCAGCCTCCCTGATCAGAGGAAGTTGTATGAGAGACAGGGAGAATTGGCACAGTGGCCTCAGCAGGGAAAGGCTGCTGACCAGAAAGCCCTTTCCCATGGGGAGGAGATGGGGGTTAGTGACAGAGCACTGGAATCAGGTGGCTCTATCACTTTTTAGCTGAGTGAACCCAAGTGAGAATTTCATCTGTGTGAGCCTATTTCCTCTGGGAGGGTATAGCTGCTGCCATAACACGAGCCACCCTTTACTGACCGCCTACAGCCTGCCAGGCACTTCTCATCTCCCATCAGAAAGCACTGCTCCTGTTTCCCTACTGAAGTTCCTACATGGCACACTAGGGTGTGATCACATGTCCAACCCCCAGGGATCTGGGGGTGTAGCCAGAAGCAGCCCACTAGAAGCATGACATCTCTTTCAAAACTCCTTTTTACTCTTTAAATATGTACAAGGTTTGCATTCTGCTGCATAATAAATCCAAGTTTTATTATAAAACTCTCCCACCTCCAAATCCTCAAGTAAAATTCCAGGAAGATGTATGTGCCATGTACATTCAGTGGCACCATCTTATACCCTCTTCTCCCACTCATGGTTTTCAAATCATGCACATGCACATCAAGTGCATGAGGGGGTAGCATTATTGCCATTTTACAGAAGGAAGTCAAGGCTTAGAGGAGTTCATATC